GCTTGGATACAGATGACTTTGGGTTATTCAGGGGAAACGGCTGCACATTGAATGCTAATGGGCAGATGCTGGTTTAGAGAGGGGAAAAAATGCTGCTCCCTTATCTACATTTCTCCTCTAGAGTCTGATAATATAGGCAATCCAGCTCTTGTCTTCTTTCCATTATTCCAAAGACATGATTAAAGGTGCCCGCCTTCTGTTAGAAATATATAAGTGACATGTTCAAACGATTGAGTGAGAGTGATATGTCAAACTCTGGACACATGAGGTAGAGATTAGAAGAGACAATGATTGCTGAATGTTAATTTCATGAGCCTAGCAGTATACTTTCAGTAATAATTGCTGTGCCCTTAAGCAGTTGCTTTAAATAATTGAAACCTAAGATAAGAGGTGTTCTACTTTTTTCCTCTTTAGTTCCCTTGAAGCTACTACATCTGCACACATACCCCTTCCATGAATGTTTTCCATAGTTTTCCCTTAACAAAATCTTTCTTTGTGATCAAGAATAGTCCTGTTGTCAAATACTCATTTGCTATTCACTTGCTTTGTCATTTCAAAGATAATGATGTCCCGGTTCCCCACTATAAATATCAATATCTCACAAATGTTCATTTATGTGTGAAAGCAGCATTGAAGTGTTTCTCTTGCCGGTCTTTTGACTGGACACACAGAAACCAAGCTTTTGGTTTTTGCCTTTCTTTTCTGTTTTCCTGTCAACCTCTCTGCAGTGTATAACATTGCCTGTATCCCACATGCTCTGCATTTAACCTTAGTAGGGAGAGATTATCTTGTGTTCTGGAACAGTCAACTCATTGCAAATGAGTGAGATCAATGGTGCAGTAAGCAAGCTCTTTCAACCTGAACCAGGCACCAGGAACTATGGAGGAGGAAAGTTCACCTGCTACTGCGGACTCTCCTATTTTTGGTATGAGATTTCTTAGATGGTTTTCTAGGATGTTTGAAAGGCTTCTTTTAAGTGTCCAGCTGCTTGGTACCTTTTATCCCGCTTTATGTCTTTTTGTGTTTCTGGTAGCTAGGCTGGTGATATGAAAAAAAGCACATAAACAGCAGCCTTTCTCTTTGTTTTAACATTTTAGTGTGCTTTCCTGTCTGGTATTTGCCCAGATTTGTGTCATCCTTTGCTGTTAAATGACAACACTTTTCTTTCTGGTTATCATTTGCTTTATAAAATGCAAGCCCACCTTCATTTTCCAATTTCATGTCCACCTTAATGCTTTTTAAAGGGGAACTGCAGTCTCAATTTCTCGGACTGGTCGTTAAATCTCGGTAACAAAATAAATGCAGTGACATTATAGGGAAAAAAATACAAATTGCAAATTAAACACAAAATTGTGAACTATGTGAAAATACTGTAAGTCCCCACATTGTCGCAAAGTCGCATTTGAGTTCCAACAAATCCCGACAAGATGCGGCCCTTCCAGCTCACTAGTCACTGTAATGACTAATGTGATGTACGAGCAAATAAATCTGCACACAGAATGAACAAGTAAGTAGTATTTGTCGGCAAAACCGTCTTGAAGTTTAGAGCAATATTTCTATTGGATTAAAAGTAATGGAATCACAAGCCAGCTTGTTTACGATGGGGCTGCACACGTTACCAAAAGTTTTTTTGCCTCATTCTGAATCTCAGAATATGGTGCTGCGCATGCCAGGAGAGTTAATCTATATTGTGATGTAAATTGGAGGTTTTACGACATACTGTGTACATTTTGCATCCATCGCAGTTTGAAATGCTCTCATCAATGATGATTCTAACTGGAAAAAATGAAAATAGCATTGCAGTTCCCCTTTAAGGGGCGTCTGACATCCTAATAGACATATGATGAAGAAATCAGTGGGAGCTGCAGAACTGAGTACTGAGTTCAACCTGAGCAGCCTCTTCCTGGACTTTAAGACTCATGGGTTCAGGTACCACATTGCAGTGATGATAAGCTATCAAAGATAGATTGAGCTCCTGTGGGTCTCCTCCCAAACTAGATTGCTTCCTATAGCCTTTACTTAAACTGCCAATTTCCTCTGTGTATGGCTCGACTGACCTATCATTTGGTGAGCTGATAAAACGTGGGCTTTGAAAATATTGACATAAAGCTTTATTCACACAACATTTATGCAAACCTGATTGGGATTTTGCGACTGTGATCAGCAGAACAAAAAACGAAAGGTTGCAAAGGAGAGGAGCCCTTTTGACCTACAGTAAATGGCCCAATTGGTAATTAGGACCTTATCGATTGAAGTCCTAATCAACATCCGATCATTTCTTGAAAGAAGCCAGGGATTGGCTCCAACCAAATGCCTAAGTAGCATGTTCTAAGCTCCCACAACTCTTTGGATAAGAAGTGGCTCCTCTTCTTGGTTTTAAATTGACTTCCACGTAGTTTCTACTTTTGTGTCCTTTTGGGTTTTGTTTTACTGTTCGTTCTGAAGATGTTGACCTCAAGTTGTAACATTTTTCATCTAATAAACAAAGAAAAAATCAGATGTAAAATACTTAATAGAAAGCCATAGCTAATTGGCAAGGGAAGATGGTTTTGGATTAATGAGCAGCATAAGGCAGCTTCTCCGTTACAGCCAAGCAATTTCCCATTGTGAAAACTCTGGACTACACTCCTTACACGTGTAGCTCCCAGATTTCACCTTCCTCCTGCTGTATGTCTCCTCTGCCTAGAAGAGCTCAAATTAGCAGACGGCGCATTGCCGGCTAAATAGAGCAGAAGCCCTTTCCATGGAGTTCTTTTTGAAAACAACGAAGGCGATGAGCAGAGCAGAGCAACAAGGGTAAATCAGGGCATTCCAGTTGGAGAGCCAGACCTAATTGTGTTTTGTGCAAAAGGATAAAGATGGTACGATTTGAGTTAGGGAATTTGATATAATTTTAATGCTAATTTCAAAGTTGCTGAGTTTTACATTTTTAGGACTTTTTCTGAAAATATATAAACGCGTATCCTCATTCTCTGAACTGTTTATGACTGGGGTTCCTTATTGCTTAAACTGTACAGCATACAGTTGCTAGAAGAGGTGGGTGTTATAGTAACTAGGCAGCAGAATTAAGAATATTCTGTGAAAAAGTCAAAAATAATGCTTTTTATGGCTAAACTAAATTACTCAAGTGATGTTACTTAGTACTAAATTTCTAAAAGACACAGGTAAGTCTTAGGGCTTCGTTAGGGCACATACTGAGGTCCGCATACACCACTAGCAATTTAAATCGCTTTCCATTGTGACTGACAGTTAGAGTAAACACACTAATAATAGGATCTCTGGAACAATCTTTCCCTGGCATTTCATTTGAAACAATCTCAGCTGGCAAGTGGATAGAGGCTAATTCATTGTTTACAATACAGATAAACATATAGATATAGGGACTAGAATAAATACCCAATATAAATCTGACATTTAAATAACAATTCGTATTTAAATTTTGGTTAAGTGTAATCCTTACCCATAGTTTAAAACAAATCTGTTTTTTTTTCTAAAGGAGAACACCCCGTTTACTGAGATAAAAATCAGGTGACACGAACACCCTGAGTTAGACAGTTAGTCCTGCTTGAAATCAGTTCAGAAATCTTATGGTATTTTTGGAGCCCCAAGACTGTCTATAGCAGCCTTGTCCCATTTCACATTGTTTTTTCTTGTCCGGTTTTGCGGTGAACTATGACCGTAAGGCCACTTAACTGCCTGGAAGAATGAGAGTGATGTGCATACGCTGTCGGCTTTTAAAATAACTTCGCCTCCATCTCGGAAATCTCTTGGTAGTTTTGCATGAATTATTTACCTGCAGAGTAGTGTGTATAATTTACCTCAGATTTGCACTCTGAATGGAAACTAATGCATGCAGCTATGTTAGGAAACATAAGACACAAGATGGATTACACAGCAGGCTTTGCCATTTCCCAGTCCCTCACATGTGTTACCTGAAGCTTAATGCCGCTTGATGCTGATGATACGAAATGTTAAGCATGGATGTGTCGGCAAAGGACCGTGAAATAACTTTAAACTGCATGCGGTTTTCATTGCGTTAGTGCTGCTGACACAGTTTCTTTTTTAGGACTTGTGTGGTACCTGTAATTACACCCCATATCAACCCTGTTGAGTAGTGGTTTTTCACCAATTGTTTATTCATTCAGTCTCGGTTTTTACAACTGCCTGTCATACTTGGAGACAGGAACAGCTCTTAAGCAGGAGGAGATGTGACAAGTAGCTCACAGTACTTAGGTTTTAAAATACCTTCCATCTGGAGGAGAACAATTAAGCATCATTGCATAGTTTTACCATGTTGATAAACCCAGCTCTTTTCATAAGTCCCTTATTGTGCTTTACAATGTTCTGTGGCTATGGACTCAACTGACTATCCTTTCGGATAATTCAAGAGAATCTTTTTCTTTGCTTAATGGTGGAAATGTGACAAATATCCATATATGTCCATCCGTCCAGTTTCTAACCACTTTATCCAATACATGGTCACTGGAGAGCTGGAGCCTATCCTGCCAATCAGCGGGCACAAGACAGGGTACGCCCTGGGCACAACGCCAGTCCATCACAGGGAAGACGCAAACAGACACACGGATGCGCACACACTCACACCAGGGCCATTTGACCTACCAGCATATCTTTCGACCCACACAAACACAGGGAGAATATCCAAAATCCACGCAGACAGCATCCCAGGAAAGGAACTCCAGGCCCCAGAACTGCGAGGCAGCAGTGCAAACCACTGCGCCACTGTGCCACCCCTTCAACTAATGTGGGCACATCTAGTTTTTGTTTGTATAACGTGTAATGTTGATTTTATTTCTTAGCTACCTCTGTGATTGCACAAATACAGCTGTCCCATAAATAACTGTCGCATTCTGATTTGAAACCAGAAGTGTTTATGTCTGTTGTTGGCTATTATCATCAGAGCCCCTACAAGTTTCCTGTTGTTGAGCCAGTGAGAACTGGTGGAGGCACGGGGCTCATGTATTATGCCTTTCCTATTGCAGCTGTCTCCAACCTGGATGCAGAGAGCAAGCTGACAACACACTACCAGGCTCCATGGCACCAGCAGCGCAACGTGTTCCACCCTTCCACTCGCCCGCCCTGCGTCGAGGAGCTCCATCGGCATGCCAAGCAGAACCTGCGGGCGCTGTACCGAGGTGAGGCCGGTCTCTCTCAGCCACTGGGCCCTTTCCTCCACCAGCAGCACTGCGACGGCACATGAATGCTCCCCGAGTTCAATGCAGTCAGGTTTTCACTGCATACTGTACATCTGCAGCCACAGTGAGCGAGCCGCGTGCACCTGGGGCCACCCAGTAGCTATCCAGTGGTGGAGCTGCATTTGAAACCCCAGGGACTTTGGAGAAACAGCTGGATGAGACCCTCAAAACATTTCGCTTCTACCAACTAAACAAGCTAATGCAAAGCTTATGTTCTGGAGGGTGGATGTCTAGTTTCTTCACCCCTCTTTTTCTTAGAGATTCTGGAAAACATTTGCCACCCCCAACACAAGCTAGCACTACACTTCTCTGACATCTTCCATGTTAAGGAGATGTTAAGAGCGGGGTCTTAGTTGTTGGAAGTGGTTCCCACTTCAGCTGAGGTAGCAGTGAGTCTCTCCCACATCCTTGTCTCTAGTCCTGTTGTCACTGAACCAGCACTGGCAAACAATGTCCATGTGATGTTACAACAGGAAAAAAAAAGGCCAGGAACGATTTGAGAAATTTAATTTTCTGAGATAAGTTATGCATATTAATGGACAATAACATATTTTAAAAAGATATGTAAATAAAAGAGTTACATAACAGATTAGTACAGAGTGTCTAGAATGCAAATACTGCACTACCGTTTACTAACTGGCTCAGCATATTGGTATTGTATTTAATTTTACAGTAGTTTTTCAGGTTTTGTGAAGTAGTGGTAAATATTTTGTTTATTCATAAACCTTGTGTTTGTACAACCCTTTCAAAACCATATGGTGCAGCTTCAAAAAAAAATGTCTGACAATAATTAGATCTATTTTGTCCATCTGATTCCTCGCCTTCTTATTTCAATCCTGTCTAAATATAGTCGTTACTTGACCAGATATTTGATGTTAGTTGTCCCCCAGCATAAAGAACCGAAAGAGCTCCGTGAAGCTCCTCATCCTTAAACGTCTTGCCCTTAATCTGCAAGAATGGCTGCTTCTTTTTTCTGCCTGCTCTGTCAAATGTTTTCCAGTGTCTGCTAAGGGTGTTGGATGGCCATGTAACTTTAGACAGACATTGCCCCCTAGTGCCCAGAAAGGAAATTGCTTTTTGGAAGCTTAATGTGCTGCAATCTCAGTCCATTGAAACCCAGTAGAGTGAAGGAGGGGACAAAATGACAGAGTCCCCTGAAACCCTGTACTTCACACGGCCATTTTTGCTCTGATTATGGTGTATTGGAATTTCCTGTGAGGCGACTGATCGATTCCCCCTGACAGATCAACAACAGAGGCAGCGGGCGAACAGCAGGGAGCGCAGGGTGACGATCTCCATCTCGGTGGCGCCTCCTATGCCAGCCTTCCCCTCACCACGCACCTTGAGGCGGCGGGAACAGAGAAGCCGACACCTCCGAACGGTAAGGCAGCACCCCCCTACCCCCCCTCAGGTGACCGGATTGCCCTTGGTGGTGCCAATGGCTTGGAGCTACAGAGGGCCTAGCCACTGAGATCTAAAAGGGTTCTCAGTGCATCTGCAGTGATGCTGGTTAGAACTGTCACATGTCTTATCCGCAACTGAAAACCTTTGATGTTTGTTATTCGGCCAAACTGTCAAACAACAAAGGAGGGTGGCGATGGTAACGATGCTTGATGCATGCTTGATTTTGCCTTTGGCCTTGGTTTAAGTCAATTCAATTCTATTTGTAGTTTCATAAAGTTAGTTCTGGATTTCATCCTGTCCGATACATAAAACAGGGTCCTGTAGCTGAGACTCTCACTGTCCAACCGATTTGAAGGGAGAGGAGGTTGGATAGCATAGTGTTTTTTGCCTTAGCTCTTTTCAGACAAGGCGTCATTTCTAGTGAGTCACCTAGCATACTTTTGGATATATTCTGTAGGTATGATCGTGTAATGAATAACCATTGCAGTTTTAGAGAGTCATACATCACTGCACCTCCTTCATTTTTCATTGTACAAGAAGAGGCTATAAACATGCTCTGAAACATCCTTCATTTTCCCGGGCAAAGCAAAATATATTTTCATGCTTACTTCAAAATGTGAAATTGCAAATGAGTATTTATTTGGTTGTTTGTTTATTGACATGCTGCAGGAGAGACATGGGAGAGAGATAGAGTTTCAGCAAATGCAAAGAAAGGTAATTTCGTCAATGTATGTGGTGATTTGTTGTTTTTGTTATCTTTTTCCTATTTCCTGGGAAAATGTTTTTGTTTTTTTTTTGTAAGAAAAGGTCTTTGTTTTGTTTTTTTATTTGTTGGTAGGGGGGTGATCTTTGTCTTTGAGCAAAATGGTCTTTACTCAAATTACAGTCATGGACATAAATTGATTAAATTGATTAAAGTTTGATTAAAATAAAATGCCACCTTAATGAAAAAACAACAAGTAACAACAAATATGTAATTGCATTTTTATTACATTAAACCTTTATTGTAGGTAGATCCATACAGTAATTGATTTTAGCATTACTTAGTAAGTTGTTTGACTTTTATTATTGGGCTTTTATCCCAAAATTACTTTTACACAGGTAGGTATTTCAATGAAATAATTCAGGTGAAGTACCTTGTTCAAGGCTACACCAGCAATCTCTCACATCTCCACTGCTGCCCTACTTCAGTGTGCCCTTCTCTTCTTTTTTAATAATTGCAGTGTTTTTTATTGGACTTATATGTAGACTGTCTCTCAGAAATAGAAAAGCAAGATCTCAGCTCCCAAGGCTGGGTGTCCAGTAGAAAGCCAGGCAGAGACCGAATGGTCAGGCTGTTTCCACCACAGCTGCTGTGCCTACTGTTTAGATGGACTGACAGCTTCACTTTCTTAAACGTTCGGGATGAATCCTCTTACGTTCATGTTTCATACAAATAACAGTTGCAATCATCGAAAACGATCACACGATCAAATATTTTGCACATTTCCCCTATGTCCATGTGTCCCTGGATTGGATGGGTGGACATTGTTAATTCATGAATCAAGACCAGCACAAAAATTAATTTAAAGGGAGCTGCAAGGCTATTTTTATATTTCGGGGTGTGAAAGAATCGGCATTGATGAGTGCATTTCAAACAACAATGAAGGTAAAATGGACCCCGTAACATGTAGAACCTCCAATTTACATCACAAAATAAGTTAAATTTTCAGGTATGCACAGCACCATGATCTGAGATTCAGAGGCAGCCTTATTACATTGTAAAAAAACAAGCTTGTGAATGCATCACTTTTAATCCAGCAGAAATATTGCTCTCGACTTTGAGACACTTTTGGCAACAAATGCTACTCGTTAACTCTGCATGCAGATGACGTTGGTAGTTTTCTGCATTGAAATGTCTACTACACAATTGGTACTTATTCGCTTGTACATCACATTACATTAGTCATTACAGTGACTAGCGAGCAGGAAGGGCCAGTTTTGTGTCACAGCTCTTGGGAACACTTGCATTAGGCCATGACTAGACCAACAGTTTGCAACAAAATGGCGACCGTACAGTACTTTCACAAAGTTCACGATTTTGTGCTTAATTTGGAATTTGTGAAATGTTGCCTTATGGTCAATTTAGTCATTTTGTTACCAAGATTTAATAACCGGTCTGAGAAATTGGTACTGCAGTTCCCCTTCAGTTGTTGCTTTGTGATCTGATCTAAACTGATGTTGGATAACCATCATCTGTAAGAATGACCCTTGCACTGTATAAAGGCCTCTAAACAAAACACATTAGTGTAAAAAAATAATGAATGAGTTATGTTGTATGAGCCCCTTGCATCAAAAGATAGAATGTGGAGATTTGGCACAAAAACACAATGGTGAAATTTAACCTTCTACCTTGGCTCACATCCTCTTACTTTATGGTGTATCAGAAGCCACATAGCTTGCTCCTGGTCTGACAGGTTATCAATAGCAGTACAGGTCAATACTTAACCAAGTAAAGCAAACAGTCTGTATGACTTGTCTTTGAAACATTGACCTCAAGCGCCTTATTGACCTTTAACTGAACAAACACCTCTGTCAGGTTAAACACAATAATGTTAAGTGAACACGGAAATCACCACCTTGATGGGTCTTTACTGCCCAGCACCAGTTATAATGTCAGATTTAAGTGTGTGAACAACCACTAAGGGCTCAGAGGTTTTGTTTATTATTATTTGAATACAGAAATTTTACAACTATAGAGTATTTTTGTGGGTGGTGAAGCAATGAGAATGAACAATGAGACATCAAGATTTACAGCAGCAGGTCCTGGAAAATGCTTCCTATAAATTTGCAATATCAGCGCAGCTTGTTTTCTGTTTTAAGACCCTAAAGCAGCCATTTAGGACTACAAAACAGTCCCTAATGAGGTGCATTAAAGCAGAAATACTCTAAAGTCATGTTCTATTCAGGTAATAATATAATAATAATAGTGCAATGTGCACTATTGTATCTAGTTAATTGCTACATTTCTGGACTTTCTTTCTTAAAAATAATAGTTAATAATAATTATTTACACTTATATAGCACTTTTCTGCACACTCATTAAAGCACTCAGGGGACAGGTAATGGGGACTCCCCTCCACCACCACTAATGTGCAGCACGCACCTGAATAAATGAATAATATGAATAGGAACAACAATAATTTCTCAAGATTCGTTGACCTTTGCCCTTTAAGTATCTGTGCCTGCTGAAGATGAAGGCTTCAGGATGTCTTCTCTAACTGGTAATTGAGGTAGAGGATGACTTACTCTGGCAAAGTGGAGCATGTTTCAGTGGAGCGCTGAGGAGAATCTTAGCAGTTTGGGAAAAATGCATGGATGAACCTCAGTGACCTTCTAATCTAACCAGTTGAATCCAGCTCACAGAAGATCATGTATGGCCTACTTGCTTGATATTTAAAGTTTTGGTAAAGGTTTGGAAAAGTAAATTGAAATAGGTTCTACTGCAGAGTGTTTTAAGGTGTTGTCTTCTCAGCCTGGTAATGCTGAAACACAGATAAACAAACTGTGAAGGAGAGCAACATGAGGGTCCATATCCCAATAAAACCACATACAGTAGAGCTGCTCGTGGCATTCACACACATCCCTATGTTGAAATACAATTATTTATTTACAGTTCTGTGAAACCATTTGTGAATCCCCAATATAATAGTGAAAATACACTTTATTCGAAACTGGTTATAAGTAACCAAAAAGATTTAGATTTACCAATTTAGTGTTATTTTTTAGATTAAATGGTGTTCGAAGTATAAAAATGTATAATTAAGAGTCAAGAGTCTCTCCAAGACCAACTCGAAAAATCATCCAGGAAATCACAAAGACCTCCAAAGTAACATCTAAGGATCAGCTGGCCTCCCTGACTGCAGATGTCTCAGTGTTCATGCCTCGACCCTCAGGAAGAGACTGAACAGCAGTGGTTTTCTTGGGAGGATAACCAGTAGGAATCCGTTGCTCAAAAAAAAGCACATTGTTGCCCATTTCAAGTGATCCACATGGTTACTGGAAATATGGGTTGTGGACAGACGGACGGTTGTGGAAGTTGACATTTTGGACATCAGTGATAAATGTTTTATGTGACAAAAACTGAACATTGCCTTGTAACTGAAGAACCAGAAGATTGAATTGTCTATTTTGGCAGATAATTATAGGCTTTAACATTAATTATGTTCTAAAATAACTTTCTAGTACAAGTATAGACACATGTTACGTGAACAAATGTGTGTAATTGTTTTGGTTTGAGAGATTAATCCTCAGGTTGAGAGTAGACCACATCCCCCTATTTACATGGATTCTCATGAGAAATTAGTTTTTAATTCACATATTTTGATTTACACATAAACAGTGGCAGCCAATGGTTTAAGATTCTCTGTTGACATCATCTATCTTCTTTGACATGCAACAAACAAGGAGAGGCCAATGAGAGACACAGAAATTCACCAAGCACAGAGAAAGGTAATTCTGGAAAATGCATGCTTGTCTTGTGTTGCATTAATGAATATTCCATATAAAAAATGAAAGGCCTCTAAATCAAAACACTGATATTTAGACCAGCGTGCAGAGCCCATGTCCTAGTGTGTAACACTGTGGTTACATTGCCCTGCAGAATAATTTGAAGATACAATCTCTATTAACTTTTAAAATTCTTTAAAATGAACATTCTGTGTTTAGTGTCAACTTCTGTTGGAGGTTCAAATGCAGTGTCGGAAATGAAGTGTCGAGAATAAAAGCCACAGCTTCGATTTAAAGTCTGCCACACACCTTCATCCACAATACTGCACACATGGGGAGTGTGTTCACAGTGCGGTGTGGTATTTAAAGGGTCAATTTAAGATCTGGGCTGCTCTTGATGGTCTTTGTTTTCTCTTACATGCTACAGGAGAGACCAGGAAGAGAGATAGAATTTCAGCAAATGCAGAGAAAGGTAATCTTTGCAACAGGTTCTGCAGTTACAGGGTTGTGTGGTTTCATCTCGCCATGCTTTTTTTCCATAAACTGCATGTTGTTGTGTCCGGGGAACACATTTTGTGAGCGGTCTCAGTGATGGCTGAGTGTTCTATGTTAAAAACAGATGCCCTGTAATGGAGAGGTGTTTGATGTGTTTTACTTGGAAATGTTAGTACTTCACAATTCTTGCATAAGTGCCTGGTTAGGGACTCTGCAATGGATTCAATGGAATTCAATGGAAGTTAAATATGAGTGCTGTTTGTCATATATAGTATATATACAATGCAAGATTTAAAATTGCCATTTGTGTTTCGGTTAAGTAGTTAACAATTTTTTCAACAGGGTGGCCTTACCCTTTAAAATAGTGGTGGATGTAGCACCATACCTGGCTTCATTGCTGAAAAAAACACACATGGAAACTTCTGAATTATTGTGGGAACTATTTTGGTATATTTTCTTTGTGCCTTTACGAGAGTTGCAATCAAATATCCAAAGATTTAGGGTGCTTTATTTTCAAGGGATGCTGTTTGTTATGTTGCCTTACATCTTAAAAGGTTTACAAATGGTCAGATGTTTGCAGAACAGCTAATGAAAGTGTGATTTTAATCACACTTTCATTACCTTTATTGTAAAATCCATTTTACAGAAAAAGAAACTGCTTGAAACTAATGTTCAAGAGGTAAAAGTGAATTTTGTTGTTCTTTTCTTTCACCCAGATTGTTTTGTATTTTGCTTCCAGCTTCAGAATTTACCTTCCTAAACCCAAGTAGGCAGCCAACATCCTATGTACAGTCCCCTGAAACATCATAATATGTTTTATTTCAGGAAAACATAAGGAACTCCAGGAAGCCTGATTACTCCACCATTACTTTCCTTATTACGCCAAAGTCACCTCTTACCAGTTGCATTCCTGCGACCTCCTTGATTTCCCTTTATTTGTGGGTTTTTTTTTTCAAAAGCCTGTGATGCAGTTTTGGTTTTCCGTTTGCCATTTTTTTATTTTGTTCAGTTTCATTCAAAATGTCTTTTGTTTTTCTTTGCCTTTTGTGTTTGTAGTTTGGCAGAACCCGCTCCTCCTCCCCCACTGAATGTTGCCACTTGACACCCTGGAGCAGAAAGGTATTTGCCCCTTTTGGGTTGCTCTGCAGCGACCATCAAGCCTCGCCTGTCTCCCTCCTGGCCACTTGCTTTCCAGTTCTGAACTTGAATTTTTTCTTTCCCCGTTTTTACATGACAACTCTTAACTTTGCGTCTTGTCACCAGACAGGAACAGCAAGGACTTGCCTTCCTTGTCCCGTCACTGCATTTCACATGGCCACCATTTTGTCCCTGCTAATGGAAGATTAGCAAGACGCGTTGATGCCCATGTGAAGTGAAGAGCAGCAGTTTGACTCAGCCCTCTACATGCATGTTCAATTTTCTATCTACATGCAGAATGATTGTTATTTGTGAGTCGGCAAGAGAGTAATTGCTTACACTTATATAGCGCTTTTCTGGACACTCCACTCAAAGCACTTTACAGGTAATGGGGACTCCCCTCCACCGCCACCAATGTGCAGCGCCCACCTGGATATTGCGACAGCAGCCATAGTGTGCCAGTATGCTCACCACACACCAGCTATCGGTGGGGAGGAGAACAGAGTGATGATTATTATTATTAGAGGCTATGATTGGTAAAGGCCAATGGGAAATGTGGCCAGCACACCAAGGTAACACCGCTACTCCTTTTGAGAAATGTCCTGGGATTTTTAATGACCAGAGTCAGGACCTCATCCGATGGACGGCGCCTTTTTACAGTATAGTGTCCCTCCCACTATACTGGGGCATTAGGACCCACACAGATCACAGGGTGAGCTTCCTCTACTGGTCCCACTAACATCTCTTCCAGCAGCAACCTTAGTTTTTCCTAGGAGGCTTCCATCCATGTACTGGCCAGGGTCACACCTGCTGAGCTTCAGTGCATTGCCATTTGTGCGTTTCAGAGTGATATAGCTGCAGAGTGATATAAGCTGCTTCTTTATAAACGAAGAGATGTAACACTCAACTCAACAAAACACCAAAAGTGTTTTTGATTTTCTGGGGCTTCATGTTTTTTCTTTGACACCTTGTTCAGTTTCTTCAGCATGTACTGGTAGTTAGCATTTCTGTTTTTGCTCATCTTATTCAGAATACTTCAGTATTTCAAAGCAGACTTGCGTAACCATGGCTCTCAAATACATATGAAAGTTCATGTATATGAACTGAACATGGCTCAACTGCAGACACATGATGCGCACTTGGTTACAGACTTAATTATCTAATCATACAGTGTTAATTACAGTTCAAAGAAATGTAACAATTCCACATGACTTACTTTTTGCAAAAGAACCTAAATTGCAGCGATACCAGTCTCTAAATGAAACACAAAATTGGTGATGATGGCTGTGGGGAAAATTACTGGATAAAAGGTTGTAGTAAATATATGAAGGCTTGGAAGGCATGATGTCCTCCCTGTTTTTGTCAGTGGCACCAACTTAAAGCTCCTTTTCACAGTTTTAACCCTTCTGATATTCTCTTAATTTCATTGTCTGTAACTAACCAAATTGTTTTCAGTCCTGTATTTCTACTAATATCTGTTTCTTTTTCAATGAGTCCTTTGTGTGCAATGGAGACCAATATCATGACGTGCCTTTGTAGACACATGGGGTAAATGTCATCCAGAACCTACCTGCCAGGAATAACATGTCCGTGTTTGTTCCCCAGGAATGTCCTTTCCCTCAGAAACCCATGGAAATGTCTTATGCTCTGGAAGACAGACACAGATCCCTCAGCACAATTCAAATAATGTATTTTATAAATTTGTAGATAGACCTTTGATCACTACTTCAAATACATGCAGACCTTAATTAGGGTTTTAGGAACATAAGATATATTGGAAACATTAGATATTACAAATTCTAGATACTTCATCCATCTTATTTGTTTAGTTAGTTGTAGTGTGTTGACCAAAGGAGCTCATCCAGACTTTTCTTGAAAGTATCCTAGGGTATTCAGTTTTAAACAATATGGCTGTTCACTTGTCTGACACTCCTACAAGATATGCTTTCTTTGTTTCAGTACAGTGTAAACAGTACAGTATATCCTCTTGTTTTCCATTTGTGTTCTTGGGTCCTTTTCTCATATCTGGTATTGCAGGAGTACTTACAGCAAGGCCTGTAATAAAAACATGAATTGTAGATTTGCCTCAGAATTTCTGAACACCCGGTCTTAAGTAGCCCGGGAACCTTGAAATTCATCTCGAGTCGGGGGAAGGCCAGGGAATTTTCTTCTTGGTTTTTAACCAAAGCTCTTATCACCCAAGACAGCATTCTGGCTTTCGGGACACCTTTGTAGCTCCACCAGCTTCATGAATGACTTTCTTTTACACTTTGGCCTGTGAGGGCTCTCATTTTTCCAATGAAAATAGCTTCTGGCAGTAGGCCAGTGATGAAATCCAATGCGTTAACTGTGCCTTTCTCAGTGCCTCTCTCTCTCTCACTCTTTCCCCCTCTCCCCTCCCTGAAAGCCAACGTGCTATTATTATTCTAAAGACGAATCAACTAAAAATGCACTCCCTCTGATTTTTGTGCACCAATAAAACTTTTTTTCTATTTAGAAAGTTTCCTAGGAAACAGGATTCTTTTGTGGCCAGTGTTTTGTGAGTGCAGTTTTTCGTCTGCTGGGAAGCAAAATACAAAGGCATAGGGTCAGCTCTAAATCAGAGCTCACTTGGAGCTAGGGGAGGTAGGGACGAGTTCAGCTTGCACGGCTGTGTGGTAGTTTTATCTTTTCTAAAATCAGAAAGGGTAAGTACACTTTTCTGTAAAAAAAAAATAATTTAGCCCAGGAAACTGAGATGCAGAATAGTGCAGATTTTTTTTAATTACTGCTTTACCTGACTGAGAAAAATTTACTGCAGGACAATATACTGCCTGTGTAAACAAGGCGGGATGCTAGATTCATGCTTTAAGAAATGGTGCAGGTAAATGAGCTATATCAGTAAAGAACAAATATTTTTCATCCATTTTCTTTGAAACAAAGGTATTTTTCTCTGCTAGGAAATGAGAGCACTTTGAGAGAATCTTTTGTGTTCCTCACAGCTGATGCACCACTTCTACACACTTCATAGTACAACAAATACATCTTTATTAAGACGTTTGCATGCATCTAATGCATGAATGTTGAGTCGTTCACATTTTTATCATCGTTGCGCTTTTTATTTTACAGTATTGCACTATTGTCTTATGCCTGCACTTGCATCTTTCAAATGTATTTATCCAGAATGGAATTATATCAGAGAACCAAGTAGAAATGTTTGCAGAAGGTATTTGTGGTAGAGTATTTAACACAGTCTGGAGGGTTTCTGTTTTTTTCTCATGCCTTTTTAAAGTATTCATTCTGAGACATATATACATATTGTGAAGCCAGCAGAATTTTGTAACTTATCGTGTTTGCTCTTTCGTTAAATCCAACTATTCAAATGAAACGATGTGGTAGATTAAAGATGGAGCATCCGACTTTTTCTTTGTTTTAAATTCTACCAGAGACAGAGAGCTCTTTCATTTTGGATTTTCCCAACAGACTATTTTCACAGAAACAAGAGTCAAGATAGCTTAAGGGACCCTTGTTTGAATGTGATTTTAGCTAGGAAAATGATTTTTGTTTAACTCAGTGCAATCAAATGTTATTGCAATCAAAACATGAAATGACGTTTGTTTTAGTATGAGCTCAATGTACTGCTGTGGTGACTCTGCTTTAATACAAACTGTCATTGTGAGTTTCTTAGTAATTCCATATGGTAAATCATATCCACTTTTTTGTATATATAATTTTGATTTAACAAGCTGGAAGTGGTTTTGAGCTTTTAAACATGGTCAGTGATGAGAAACTTCCTGTGGTTTGAAAATGCTAATAACTTCCAATTTCTATAACTTTAAAAATAAAAGGTTACTATATTACGGTACAAACTCACCATGCATGGTGAAAAACACAATTCCTGTTATCCTTAGCCTAAGCTACACTGAGGTTTTTAAAATAACAGCATGAAGCAGAAAAGTCTTTCATTAGTTTGAAATATGCATCTTTAACTACTTTATTAACCCATATTAGAAGGAGTAGATTGATGATATGTGTGATATGTGCATATATTGTTTTATAAGATAAATGTCAAACAATAATATTTTAGGCTTGGTGAAAGCCTTTATTTTCTCTCCTCAGCTTAACACATCAACACGTAACAATATTAACACTATTAACCAGCATTTCCATTTGTTCCAGGCTGTTCCTCCGACAGACCTTGACATCGATGTAGTCGCATTAGGTCACAGGCCGAAGTGCCCGGTGCCTAATATCCCCTCAACACTGGACAAGCAGACCAACTGGTCTAAAGTGCTACCTCTCCCAACCCCAGAGGAGAAAATGAGAACAGAGTCTCAAGTGATTTCTTCATGCATTATTCCCATTAATGTCACCGGTAAATTCACTCATTTTGTTTGTGTGAAATATTTTGCTCTTCAACCAATGTGGAAGGACCAATTTGCTCTTTACAGTTTTTTTTCTTGAGGGAGAGAAACTAAGCATGAACGTGGGGCCTCTTATCTTATTCTTCCACTAAAGCCTCAGTTTGCCCTGCTATCCTGATCCCCACTTATTTCTGAAGTAAGGATCTCAGGGAAGCTTAGGTCTTCTGAGGTGACCAGTGCCTGGTCGGGAAGGGTGACAGATTATGTAGCGGTCACAGTGGAAAGTATGTACCCCACGTCTTTTAGGCTCTGATATTGAAAACCCACAGACTTCTGCATTTTCATGCTTCAAAGGCTCGATCACTTAGTCACAAGGCTACTTTTATTTTTTTACCTTTCTCTGAAAATCCGGCCTACATATACAGCATTCCATTTTTCCACATTCATCCCCCTCCTAGTAACATAAATGGCATAACAGGTGAAACTGATTTTGTTGTGGGCTCTGATGTTTATTTTTAATTACATATTGGCGTATAGGACACTGAACTAATTTCTCTGCTGTACATGAATTCTTGTAGTTTTCTCTGCTTCACTTCAGTAATGCTTAACCTCTTCATTCTCTGTATGTAAAAGAATGTACAACTCCATAGAGCAATACAGGTTGCTGAATTTAAGTATTATAAGGCATTGTGTTAAATCAATGAATTTACTCACAAAGGTGAAATGCAAAACTATGTAGGTCAACAAGTAATATCATCACACTGAATACATTTGGGAAAAACATTTTATGAGGGACGTTGCCATCCTTCATGTCTGTCAGTGTACATAAACGAGAAGTAACCTTAATTGAAAAGATTTATTCCTAAGATTTTTTAACAGTAAACCTTGTGTCGATCACCTAACATCACAAAAAGGTTTATAAATCACACCCTTAGATATATCTCTACTTAGCAAATCTGGGAAGATTTTATTAGAATCTGCAAGTCATGATCTGTGAACCTCACAGCAGCCCTTATAGTCCAAAATTGTGTGCCTTTGCACACAATTTAGTTGCATGGCTGGTTGCATGCTAATTAGCCGCATTAGAATTATAATGAGGCTGTGTGATATTACTGACCCTGAGTAATGTTGAATCAAGGAAAACGTGGTTTACTGTGTCAATGGAAGCTTGGTCACAGAGCACATTCAAGCAATGATGTTGAATAGTGCAGTCTGTAATCACATGATAGTCATGAAGTTTTGTAAAAAAAACAGGAAAACAGGATTCTGAGGCTGAAGTGAGAATGTTCAGTTTAGGAAACGACACACAGCAAGGTTAGATCCTTATAAGCAGCTGATTTTTAACAGGTATGGTTATAGTTATACTCTACTTTGATCTTTTTGTACTTTTTATCCTTATCTGAAGTTTTTGTTTCATGAACTACTTTTGAGTATTTTATATAATTATGTAGTAATTCTATTAAAAAATAAGTACTTGTAAATACTTTTCTGTAACAGTTATATTTGGGATTATTGCCCTCCTTCTTTTTGTCTAGTTTGGATATTGACTGTTTCTTTACAGAAACAATTCATACTAAAAAACAGCAGGAAACACCTTTCTCCATGCTAGATACGTTTACCTAACATTTTTTCTCCGTTTTACTTAGTGTTTTTTTTTACTATAGATGTAAATAATGTAAAAAACGTTTTGCTAAAAACCCTCACTACATGGTGCTTTTTGGGAAATAAACCTATTTATGTTATTTATGGTTCTGGAAATAGTGCCTGGATATTTTGTTTCTTTCAACTCGATTCCCTGTTGGTGTTTTCCAAGTAGGGTTGAACTGAATAAGATTAAATGGTGCCGATCTGTAATTCCAGGGGTTGGATTTGACAGAGAAGCCAGTGTGCGTTGCTCTCTTGTTCATTCTCAGTCAGTACTACAAAGAAGACGGAAGCTAAGAAGACGAAAAACCATCTCAGGCATTCCCAGACGAGTACAGCAAGAATTAGGTACGTTCTCCTCTTTACCTACTCAGCTCTACCAGGATTCATATCCATGAGTTCCATTAGGGATTAATGTAAAAAAAAAAAATGGGTGAGGTTCATGCAAGTAAAAAAAACAAAGTGGCATGATAAACATGCCCGACAGCACAAGAATCAGTCAAAGGCTGTCAAAATTCAGCAGAACAGTCTCAAACATAACTTTATTTGTATTATTTGTAACTTTATTTTTGTATTTATGTAACGTTCTTAAAGTTAATGTATATATAAGTTTTAAACTGTAGATGCATGTAACCTAAAAAATAGTTTATTTACTTTACAGATTGCCAGTTTAATTCTTGCAGCCATGCATGTACCTTTCATATCGATCCTATCATTAGATCAGCGTGAGCTTAACAAAGCACTTTCTAAGCAACTTATTTCAAAGGTATTGGCAGCACAATTCCAGAGAGACAAAATCATGGTTCATAGCCGAGGAACCACTTTCGGTTGAATTAAATACGTTGAGACGTGAATCAGGAATGTGTCTCAGCTGCTCCATGTGACCTTAACCTCTTTTACCTGCCCCAAACAAGATTCTGACGAATCTCCAGTGGCGAGAGAGCGGAACGTGATCGTACACACCAATCCGGACTTTTCTCTGTGCCGCGAAGAGCTTACTTCCATCAATGGCCGGTCAACCACTAAGGACTCGGGGTGCCAGACGGATGACATCTTAATTGCGGCGCCCTCACGCCGGCGAATACGAGCCCAGAGAGGCCAGGGCATCCCGACCTCTCTATCCCACTCCACCGGCAACATCACATCGCTGCCGGACAACTCGGACGCCATGTTCGCGGCCACGGTGGGCAGCCGCCTCCGCTCGCGCAGCCTGCCCCGGGAGGGGGGCCGGCTCGTGGACGAAGACCACGACAGCGACGAAGAGCTGTCTCCGTACGAGACCGAAGAGTTCCTGCCGGGACCCGAGCGCGTCTTGAAGGATGAGGAAGAAAGTACAGATGACCAGGCTATGCCAGATCATCAGCTGGTCGGGCTGAAGTGCAAACAACATGTAGGAAGCCCAGATCACAACTGGAATGAAAGAGGGCGGTCCAGGCTCCCCAGGAAGGTGGATATGGGAAGCTGTGAGATTTCTTCCAGCTCAGATACCTTCAGCAGCCCCATTCACTCAATTTCTACTACAGGAGTGTTGGGGAGCCAGATAGACCACAAGGAGGACCATCAGTCTTCCAGTGGCAACTGGAGTGGGAGCAGCTCCACATGCCCCTCACAGACTTCAGAGACCATCCCCCCTGCTGCTTCACCACCCCTGACGGGATCTTCACACTGTGATTCGGAGCTGTCGCTGAATACTGCTCCTCACGTCAACGATGACCCCACTGGCTTCATTATTGACCCGTACCAGACTGACAAAGTCAGAGGCCACAGGGCGAGTTCCTTTACCTCCACGGTAACTGACCTGCTGGATGACCCAGGCATGAGCAACGTGAGTGATGGTGAGTGGAACTACCTTCACCATCAGCATGATAAGTCCTGCCGCCAGGATTTCAGCCCTCAGCGTTCCAGGGAGGATGAGAGCAGCCTTGAGTGCCCAAGTTTCACAAGCATGGCAACATATGAAAGTTTCATGGACAAGCCACCATCCGAGAAAGCAGATTCAAGTTCGCACTTCTCTGTGGACACAGAAGGCTACTATACCTCCATGCACTTTGACTGTGGTCTTAAAGCTAGCAAAAGCTATATTTATAACTATGCAGCCATGGGCACAGACTGTGGCCAGAGCGCAAATGTTGCACCTAGTATGGACGGATACCCTCAGCAAGAGTACCAGGGTCATAGAACAACAGGAAGACAGAGTCTTTCATTCAAAAAACCAAAGGTGAAGCCAGCCCCACCAAAACGCAGTTCATCATTGAAGAAAACAAGCAGTGGTGCAAATGTTCCTGACAAGAAAGAACCAAAGATAAATAGTGGGCAGCCCCTGCCTTTGTCTTCCAGGGAAATGAAGCTGCAGCTGGACTTGGCCAGCTCCCCAGGCCAGTTGGAGAACCCCACTTTAGGTGATGAGCCAGCAGAGCCCTGGGAAGTTGGAAACGCTGGAGAAGTAACAGATGCCACATTGTTTGGCTCCACAGATAACCACTCCTTTAAAGATGAAGGTGCTGTACAGTCTGACTATGCAGATCTCTGGCTCCTCAATGACTTGAAATCTAACGATCCCTACCGATCGTTGTCCAACTCCAGCACTGCTACGGGTACAACTGTCATTGAATGCATCAAGTCGCCAGAGAGCTCCGAATCGCAGACCTCCCAGTCGGGATCTCGAGCCACCACTCCATCTCTTCCTTCTGTGGAAAACGAGTTCAAGCTGGCTTCACCCGAGAAGCTAGCTGGCCTGGCATCACCATCTAGTGGGTACTCCAGTCAGTCGGAGACGCCAACATCTTCCTTCCCCTCAGCTTTCTTTCCTGGGCCTCTGTCTCCAACCAGTGGCAAGAGGAAGCCGAAAGTCCCAGAGAGGAAATCTTCTCTCTCTTCCCTGCAGCAACAGCAGCAGCCCAGAGATGGAAGCACCTCATCCAAGAAAGACCTTGAGCTACCAATTATACCTCCGACCCATCTTGACCTAAGTGCTCTTCACAATGTTCTCAACAAGCCTTCAGCCCACAGAAATCCAATGCACATTATCCATCAGAACAAGCAAAAGGCAGCAGCTGCTGCTGCTGCTGCTGCAGCAGCACATTCAGAAGCTCCAGGATCATCCCCTCTGGCCATCACTCCCACTGTGCTGCGCTCAGTCCAGCTGCGATCCGTCAGCAAGCCCAGTGAAGGGAGCCAGGACCGGCAGAATGCTGAGGCTGCCCCTAAGCTTAAATGTCCCACTGTGACAATTGTCACCCCACCCACCACTAACAAATCTCCAGAATCCAAGAAACCAATGTCCCACAGATCCTATGAGCCCCATTCTCAGGAGTCCTCTCAAATGCTGTTTACCCTGGGTGACAGACCCCCCACAAGGGATGTAGCATATCTTGACATTGCTAAAAGCAAGCAAGAACAAAATGCCTCAGACCCCTCAGGGGCTATGGCGGCAATTACAGCTCCTTCAGACCCGTCATGCACAGAAGACAATCCTTTATCGAAGCCGCCGATTTGGACTGAAGCTCGTCACCCAGGAAAAGAGCTTCAGAAGGAGCAGGATTGTGAAGGGATGTCTGGGTATGCTCTATGCCCTGAAGAAGAAGAACAAGAGAGAAGTGGTTCAAAGATTCAGTTACCTAGTAACAGCCTAGCAACAGTGCACAATCAACCATCAAGACCTGAGCCAGCTACTGAAATCCCCTTCGTGTGTCTGACACAGGCAGATTCTCCCCTTGCTCCCAGCAACACAACAAAGAAGTTTGACTTTGCTCCTTGCGACAGTATTGACAAAGTGCCTGTAATTATAACTTATCAATCAGAAACATCACAAGCTTACACAATCAGTGATACGAGTAGCAGAGAGCAGGAATATGATGAGACATCAGGTGTTCCTACCAGAAGTGCCTCACAGGACAGCAGGGAAGAGGGGACGCCAGACACTGAGGATTCCTTCAGCAAAGGTTAGTTACTTTCTACACAACAGGGTCCAGTGTGCCCATAGTCTGCACAGTGATAGAGAACCTGTTGTTTTCTTACACACTGGATTTAGGAGAGTTGGATTTTTGTTATTCTTCAATTTTCTAATTTGCTTTGGGATAAGTCTTGACTTTCTCGGAAGCACAGTCTGTAAATGTGCACAGTGTACTATGAAACAATAAGCTACAATAAGATTTCAATGTTTTAAAATGGAATCTTGATGTTCTGAAAACTTAGACAGGAACTCCAGTTCATTATTTTTGTCTGCCTTTATATGGGTAGAATTGTTTTAGCTGTGAGCCAAGCAAGTTTTTTTTTCCTTTTCTGTTTAAGGTTTCTTTAAATACTGATAACTGTGGGCTGTGGTACTTTGGTAATTTCAGTAAGACTGACAAAACATTAATTTGCACTGTTATATATGACACATGACAGCCATACTTAATTTCCCTTATAGTAGTTAGAGTGGCTGTTTTATTTAATGATTATTGTGATCGACCTGAAGCTGTGTCATAAAGGTCATAAAGCCTGGGAACAGTCTGTCCTAGACAGTGTTTGCTAGAAATTTTCTGTTTTGCAGAGTCTACACCAAGTGACAATTCACTTTCGCCACTGAGTGATGAGACAAAAGCTGAAGACGACGGTGTTTTTCTATCTCCTAACAAACTACGCACTACAGAAGATCTCTTTGCTATGATTCACAGGTGTGTTTAAAGACATCGCCGCCACCTCTTGACAGCAGAGGGGGTGTTTTGTTAATCCAGAAGAGTCTGTTTTCTGTTTATAAAACTACTGTATATCCAGAGCTGTAGAATCTATTTTCTGTGTCTTTCGGTCCTTTAGAGAGTGGATGTGAGAAATACCCACTTTGGACTGGAACTTTTACGTTGATTTTGCTACAGCAGTTTGCATGTTTTATTGAAAGAGAATATAAACGGACAGAACCACAAGACAGGAAACATGTGATAACGTAAGCACTCCTAGAATCGAATTGGCCTTTTCCTCCGGTTGAAAGACATTAATAGTAAGTCCTCACACTTATATAGTGCTCTTCTGGACATTCCACTCACAGTGCTTTACAGGTACTAGGGACTCCCCTCCACCAATGTGCTGCACTAATGATGCAAAGGCAGCCAAAGTGCACCAGTATGATCACCACACATCAGCTATCAGGGGGGAGGAGAGCAGAGTAATGAAGCCAGTTCAAAAATGGGGATTATTGGGAGGCCATGACTGGTAAAGGCCAGGGGGAAATTTGGCCAGGATGCTGAGGTTACATCCCTACTCTTTCCAAGAAATGACCTGGAATTTTTAATGACCACGGAGAGTCAGGACCTTTGTTTTTTGTGTTATCCAAAGGACAGTGCCTTCTTACAGCAAAGTGTTCTTATCACTACACAAGGGCATTAGGACCCACACAGATCGCGGGGTGAGCACCCCCTGCTGGCCCCACTAACACCTCTTCCAGCAGCAGCCTTCATTTTTCCCAGTTGGTCTCCCAGCCAGGTACTGACCAGGCTCACAACTGCTGAGCTTCAGTGGGCTGCCAGTTGTGAGTTGCAGGGTGATATACAGTAGCTGAAGGCAGGTTTAAGATGTTGTTACATTTCAGAAAACCTTTAATAACTGTATTATTAACAATAATGTTTTCTGTAGATCCAAAAGAAAAGTGCTGGGAAGGAAGGATTCAGGGGAGTTGAGTGTGAGAAACAGGCTTACAGCGGCGTCTGGGAGCTCACCTGCCACCTCTCCTGGCACCCCAACTGGGTCCCAGCGAGCTCCGGGGCCCATTTACAGGAGTGCCAAAAAATCCAGCACCTCGAACGAGGAGTTCAAGCTGCTGCTGCTGAAAAAGGGCAGCCGCACCGATTCCAGTTACAGGATGTCGGCCACCGAGATCCTGAAAAGCCCGATCGCGCCCCGGTCTCCGGGCGACTTCAGCCCCGAGGCGCCCAGGCAGCCGGAGGACCCGCCCTCCCCTCTGCAGCAGCTCCTGCCCGCCGCGGAGTCCTTCTCCACCCCGTCCCCCAAAGCCAACACGGAGGGGTTCTCGCCAAAAACCTTCGGCACGTCTGCGTCCTCCAGGCAGGGCCGGTCCCGGGTGCCCCCCGCGGCGAACAGCAGCCGCTACAGCGTGCGCAGCCGCCTCTACACCACGCCCATGCAGGCCATCTCGGAGGGCGAGACGGAGAACTCGGACGGGAGCCCGCACGACGACCGCTCCTCCCCCGGCTCCTCGTAGAGACGTTTCGCATATCTATTTTTCTTTTACTTTTCTTAATAAAACACACAAAAAAAAACTAAACAAAAAATGCCTGTTGAGCGAGAAAAAGGTCCATGTCATTGGAACTGGGAATACCTATTGTGCAAATTGGGAAAATGAGCCTAAAACGTAAAAAAAGACCCCCGTCTTTCTCTTTTGTAACAATGATCTCGACTTATCGCTGATACTAAAACCCGATTTGGAATACGAAAAACCTTAATGGACCTGTCTCACTGTATTACTGTATTAGTTGTATAAACTGGCAATACTGTTTTAGTTTATGATTTTATTTTTTTAAGGCTATTGTCCTGTTAAAGTTACAGACGCATACAATGCATTGTCTGATGTTTGATTATACAAGAAATTATCACATAAAAAACTGTTAAGAGTGAAAAGGACAGTAAATGATATTAACAGCAGTCGTTTAATAGCTAAATATCAATAAACACCGGTCTTTTAATAGCTAAATAATCTACATTTACCTGCATATGCTACGTTCATTTTGCTGTAATGTAAAATTAATACAGGGAGCCCTTCTCATATCAAGAGTAAAATGTTTAGCCTTGTAAAGAGTCAGACTGGCACATGCTCATCCTGAAAACTCTCAACAAATGTACTGCAGTAATGGTTCAGAAAACTATGTAGGGTCCCTGCCTTGAAGAATTTAATGGATGCTAATATAATAAGGGAAGAATTATATAGAAACTTAAGTCCAATGAAACCTGCTTATGACAGGTGCACAAGGGACAATCTAAATGTGGCCTTTATGCTCCGAAGGTCTTAACATACAGGGGATTTGATATTTTAAAACGTTATACAGGTATTTGTGAGCATCGTCAACGAAGACCGGCATTCCTCCTTTACAGGAGATCTTTAATACATTTGGCTAAAGCTTTAGGTTTTCAAACCTATAACTCCTTTGCACTTGATATCTTGATTATCCATAAGTATCTCTTGATAATCTCTTTTAATTGCCATTGTGTAAATAATACATATAAAGATTCCAAATAAAAAATATATGTATGAATAAAAATGACACCAACTTGGAAGGTAGCTAAAACATAGACTGAGGCACAGAAGAAAGAAAGACTGTGGGGCTGGTCGAGGGGTCTACAGTCTTTGTACATTTTAGTAGCCTAGGTTGTCACACATCTCAGAACTGGCTTGAGCTACCTTTGCTGATACAAGTCTATTTTAGTGAGAAGATTCAGTTGTGCTCTTTTTTAATGAAACAACCAGAAATGTGATGAGTGTGCAGCTTATGTTTATTGTGTCGTCACATATTCAAGGTCCAGGACATACCTGAAGTATTCTCTTAATGACCTAAAACGGGATTAACCTTCTAATATGGAAGTTACTGCTGCAGATTGTTACTTGACTTAATGTAACATTAGCGTAAAGTGGATGCTAAGGGAAAATGCAGGCAAATGAAATAAGAAATGTATTCTGTGAATACCTTTGCAATCCTATACACTGTTAATTTGGGGCTAGTGTTATTCCCTTTGAGGTGAATACAGATTTCAGCTAGGGTGATTTACTTCTTAAATAAGAAACACTCAGAGAATTAAAACTGATTCGCAAGAAATGACACTGTGTAAGCTAAGCAAGGAAAAAGCTGTGAAGTCAGTAGTTATCACACTCATTAATGCCATAATCTGTAAGTGTACTCTGACCAGCAAATGGTCAGGTTGGTGCATTTTTGTTTCTCAATTCTTTTCCTCATCAGCATGCAATAAGAACCAGTGGACTTTTGAAAAGGAGGTTTCGAATTTTAAAAGAGACCGTAATGTTATTAATAAGTAGGGAAAACAGATTGCTTGACCTTGTATTATCGGTGTGTTCGATAGCTGTAAAAAGTGTGTGATCCTTTTTTAGTAAATGTAATCTAGAGTGGGGTTAATTGGTAAGTGAATAAACTGGTAACTGGGTGATCTTTTTAAAGGTATTTTGGTATATGAGGGAGGTAGAAAGGGGAGTATGAAGTCAGGCTGGGTTGGAACTAGGAATGAGATAAGTCTTAAAAAGGGATGCTAGAGGTGAAACCGAAAGAGAGAGTGGTCCGCAGACGATGCAATGTAAGGGATTTTGTGTGTTTGTTTGATGTGGCTATGAAGCGTGGGAAGTGAAAATTGGAAAGTGAAGTAGAGGATAAAGATATGTCTCTCAACCTTTTGTGGTCATTTTAACTCTTATCCCTTAATGATGTCTATAGCCATTGTCATTAGGTAACCGTGGCAACCACAGTATCCACCAGGCCCTACCCAGTTACAGGTCTTTGAAGTCTGTGGAGTATTAGAAGTAAGAACAGTATTGTGACAAAACATCTGCTTAATACTAGCTTTGCTTTTAGTGTTTGGCAGGTATACTGCAGATCTAGTGCTGGAAATTACACAGACACACACTGTTGACAAATTCTGGTGTAATTCTATTCTATTAAGACCAATGATAGCTGTCATTTTCCAATTTTGGTAGGACTGGTAGGGGGAAGGGTTAAGATACACCACTAATATCATTGCAGAGAAGGAAATTCAGGAAGTGTGAAATTCTTAAAACGCATAGGTATATATTAAATTATCAGCTGCTGTTCACATATGGCTTTGTTCACTGTTTCTTTTGAGCTCATGCTTTTATCAGTTACAACTGTAATATCATTGCTTCTTTTGATCATTTCATTTTAGCAAAAGACTAAACTGAGATTTATTTATTTTTGTTACTTAAAAAATGGAAGACATAGCGTGAGTTAAAGGTTTTACGAATTTACAGTCTCTTACATTGGGCTTATACTTATAAATCTATTAAATCTTTATTAGATATTGAGAGAAAAAGAAATAGAAGCTATTTTTAATGACCAGATATTTTATCTAGAGACTTATTTTGTTAATAAAGATTATCTACAGAGACACAAAATAAACAAAGCTTTATTTAAGTAGACACTGGTTGAGTGGAATTTATATCGGTTGGCATTTCGATCGCTGCAAAGATTTGAATTTTCTTGATGGGAGATGAAAAAAATCCAATTTCATCCTAGACGTGCCCATTGCTTTCAAATTTAAATGTGCATAGCTAAGTACTGTTTTGCCACCATAAATAAGAATTGCTTATTGCCAATATTTCCCATTGTCAGTGAAGTCTACATGGGTTACATTGTTCCAGGGCACTGCTTGTGTTAAATAGAAATAAAGAAATTATATTTGTTAGAATATACTCTTGTTAACTGATCACTAGTGACATGAATTAAAAATGTAAATGATGTACCAATGTAGCCATATTATTAGTCTACCGAGACACCGTTAAATGGCACTACAGTGTAGCAGTACCCATAGTAGTGCTATAACTTTCAACTTTATTTTGGCCTTAAAAGTAAAGATAAACAAACAAGTGAAACTAATACTATTGCTGTTTCCCCTTTACTACATACCTAGGTTATGACAACACCACTACAGAGTGCTAGGAAAAGTTTTAAATAGGTCATTTTTCTCTTTCGAAAAATCTCTTTGAAATATATGTAGGACTGTTGTAACTGCCATTGTTTTAACAGGGTACACAATGAGAAATTAGTTGTGAACTATCATTCCAGCATTAAACAAATCTGACATTTGCACTGATATCGAGAAGTTTTTGAAGTTTTTTTTTTTTCTTGCTGTACCAGGAGTTATTTATATAGGGTTTCTTTTAAGACTGTTTGACTTTCCATTTAACAGCTCAACATGATCCATTATCAAATGTGCAGAGGCGAGAAAGCACAGTACATGCTCTTGCCAAAGGGTTTCCGAAGTGTACAGGTGTAAGCAACATTCAGAGGTTTTTGGTTATTTGTGTAAAAATAAAACAAAAAAGAAGGTTACAGTGTAACTGTTCTGGTACTAGACGCAATTCATTCTGGCTGAAAGCTACAGGTAAATGGATTTGCATCTATTTTGTATTTTTGTACAAATTTGTAAATATGATCTTTTTAAATTGTTGCAAATATGCTTCTTTTGTAAAATGTTTTCAAAGTTTACATTAATTCCAAGCCTTTGTATATTTTTGAGCTGTGCAACACTTTAAGTCTTGTATTTATTTTTTAGTAAACATTGTGAAAATTCCATTGTAAATCTTCTCTCAACCATCTGCCAGGGCATCTGGCTGCTTAGTAATTGTGCATAGAAAAGGCCAATAAATGTGACTGCATCGAAAAATACTGATGACCACAAGTGTATTCTTTACTGAACAAAATACATGCATGGCTTCTGTGTGCGCTCTTCACATTGAAATACAATGCTAGTACACACTGGGTGTTTTGAAAGATGACGGACAAGTGCATATACTACTGTATAGCCAGGATTTATAACAGTACCATCAAATGCCCGAATTTTTGCCTTATTAAACACGTCAGATTACTCAGTGCAGCCCTCGGTCTTTTCACTTGAGATTCTAATGCCGTGCCACTATGATTCCTATGTAATGTCATCTATTTCTATAAATAAGGGAGCGCTTGCCCCTGATGAACTGACGGACCTTCGCCTTTTTCCAAGACGTTCTACTGCTGCTGCTTTAACATAATGGCCAGACGAATTTTTAAGTCATAGCACTGCATCGCCGAGACGAATGAAACAAGAACCAGTGAACAGGGAGATCCGTGGACACGACAACGCGTTTCCCCAGGGGTCTGCCTTAAAAAAAGATGCCTTAAACTGAATTTGCTGAAGGTTGCAGCGTCCTTTGGCTGTGTTTCCACTCCAATCTCTCAGCTATTTAATTTGCATATTACTATAATGGATACTTGTAGGATTTTTCCCGTTCCCGGAGTCCAACTCCTGTATACTTTGTATATCATGTGCCTCTCTTAAGTAACTGGCTGTAAATCTTTAACATGCCAAATTATGGGCACTAATTTCATAGACTGTGGATCTGGGACCCCTGTCCCGTACAATCGTGACTAGGAATGGAAAAAGATTAAGACGGATAAGTGGATGTTTCAATATCCCTACTGAAACAAAAAAAATCAGACCCTAAGGAAATCAGCACCGGTCTTAATTTACCTACCCTGAGAAAAACAAATAACGAGAATGATGATCATAATCATAACCTATCATTGTGATAGAATAACGATAACGTGGTTACAGAATCTTTCAAGAAACGTCAAATCCTGCAACTGAAGAGTGTCGCCACTGGTCATTGTTCTTCACATTCAGTAAGAGCCCTCAGTCGTAGCGCTTGATTTTAATTTGGAAATTCTCGGGTGGGATTCTGGCAAGAAAAAAAATATCATAGATTTATCATGTAAAAATAAATGAACTTTTTAGCGAGCAGGCTGAACGCTTAGTAATGGTAATAATAACCAAGAACCTTCACGTTTCTGTTCTTCACATAGTGCTGGAGGAGAGCTGGCTGATGCACACTCAAACGCCCTCCCCCCCCTGTCGGGTTCCCTGTGTCTACCAGAATCACGGGTTCATACGGATTTTGGATCATTCTCAAAATACTACACGTTTCTTTTTTCTTTCCTCACATAGTTTCTAGAAAATGACCTGACGAGGCAAAGATGCCTTCGGACATTTTATTAAATTCCTTGGCGCTAAGGTGGGCTCGGGGAACGGGGGGGGATGGAGGTTGCATGAGAGTGAAACGCCTCTGATCATCTTTACTGATCCTGCCGTCAAGAGCCGTTCTGCTGCGGCTGCTGCTTCCGCTGCTGTCTCTCGCCGCAAAGGCGCTCCGGGCAGCTTCAGAGCAGGCGCACGGAACGGGAGTGGCTTAGCCCGGGCGAACGGAAAAAGCTCGATACGTGCGGGGAGTGGAGAACACAAGGATAAAGGAGCGACGGCGATGTGCTCGTACGGTATGAGCGTTTACAACAATAACAAGAATGTGGCTGGCGTTCCGCGGTAAATGAAACACTGATTCTTCGCGTGGATTTATTTTTGGAGGCACAGAACATCCGTTCATGGGCCGTGTGTGTGTGTGTGCCATTTTGCTGAGCCGAAAGCGTTGGGAATCTGTTGGCTTCAGCGACGTCCTTGTTGTGATTGGGTGACAGATGGGAGTTGGCGTTCCCAGCGCAGCCTCGGTAGTTGGGCTAGACAAAACCTTTTCGGCAATTGTCCTAAGGGTTATTATCAAGCATTGCTGCAGCTTTGTGTGTTACCGTATGGAGGGACTGATCTCACCCCCCGAGCGTTGCATTGATATTAGAAACCCAGAGGCGTTCAGAGGAATGCTGTAAAAAAACAACGGGATTTGTAGCTTTGTATACTGTTGAATTTTATTGCTGCGTAGAATTGGCAGTACAAATAAAATCGTCATCTATATTTCTGTGTAAGGTGAAACACGGGGGGTTTGCTTTTCCGTTCAGCTCATAATTATTTTTCCTCCCAAGTATTAAATTGTTGGTCGGGGTGGCACAAATAAACATTGACACCGAAGTATGTCATCGCAACACATTGTGTGCTTTGCTACACCGTTGCTGATATAGAATAATGCTCGGTAGCTTAAATGAGACGTTGTGAACTGAAGTCTTGACGGGAAAGACTCTGTTTTGGGGGCGAATAACTTCCGAACGTTACGTTTTTTTTAAAAAAAAAAAGTAAGGTACAAATCAGTCACTCCTCAAGGCCAGTACAGAAAAGCTTCCCGACTTTTCTTTGTATGAATTGCCTTGTGATATTAATGACAGGGAGAATACTTGATACTTGCACATCTAAGCGCGTGCCTTTTGTTTCGTGGCGTCACCGGGGCTGGAGCCGCCGTCCTGGCCTCAGCTGACCCCTGTAGATGAGGGAGAACGCCTTATACACAGCTCCTCTGATGATGTCATATGGGCTCTTGTGTGAATTATATATAGTCGTTGCTGCAATAAGAAAAAAACTGTTTCACTTTCCCGGCGCGTGAAAACATTAACGTCTACGAATAGTTTAAAGGCAAGATTCAATTGACTTTACATGATGAAATATTGTTTTAAATGTACGTTAACGCCGAACAAGTATCATGGAAACGGTGACAGAGCAATGTTTAAAGTCGCAAGGTGTACGTGTTCTATACCGTATATAACACAAGGTCTTGAAAAATAAAAGGGTATTCCAGCTACCCCATCGAAACAGCTGAGACAGTACCACAAATACTTCACTGGTTTTGGTGGTGCACTTATCTCCCTCTTTTTTTCTAATTTGGGTGAAGTAGAGGTGGACCTTTTTCACAAAAGCGTGAAGTTTTACTTGATTTTCAGAGATGTTTTCGTGTCCTTCTATTACTCTTAATGTAGTTGTAGTAAGCAGTATTGGCAAGTACGTCATACTTCTGAGTTCTCCTGGTTACCCTGTGAAGGTTTAAAGTTTAAACTGGAGTTTAAAGTGAGATTTTAAACCTTATCTTGCTCTTGAAAAGTTGCAGTGCATCTTGTTTTGGGGAAAGCATGATATTTGTATTCCTGTTCTTGTATTACAAGGCTAAACTGTCACCTCATAACTGTCTTTCACAAGGAATAACAACACCCAAGAACTAAGTGTATTGAAAGGGTTAGCAAAAATTTGGCTTAACCAACATGGCTGAGGGCTGACCTCCTGGCCAAAGGAAGAGGAGGCTGGGACCCTCATACAGAGTGAGGGGTGATCAAGGGGTACTAACTGCAGAGGTGGAGATGCAAGAAGACGTTTGTGAGGTAGAGAAGGGGATCACGTACGGTATTTATAGTGTTTTAGGAGAGGAAATGGTGTCAGGAGTGATTGCTAATTACTGATAGCAGAGTCTGATTGAACATGGCTTTTGTCATCCCTCCTGAACTTTTACTACAAACTCCATGTAATAGTTAAGATTTCATAAGAATGTGAAGAGAACGTAACATTTGCAGCATGTTACATATCACTATCCCATTTTGTAATATGTTTCTTGTTTTACATGCGAAAGTTCACAGAATACCTGTTTTATAACCTTTGTTTAACCAGATAAACATACTTGGGGCCTAAATTTGTGTTGGATTGTTTTTTGCTTGAACATGTGATGAGATGCAAAAAATTTATATAAAACTGGGGAAGAACTTTCATCTGGGCTGGGCTTTCTCACATTTTAAGCTGTTCAGCTGCCAGAAATAGTGATTTTGGACCCAGCCATGATACTTTTAGTACAGCATCCAAAGGATGAGAGTAAAAACATATTGTTCCAAAATAGCAAGCTCAGGAAATAACCTAAGTGTTAACAAAATGAATTTTTTTATTCTCCAGCACAGGTCTGCTGGTAGAGTAATAAATCAAACTTGGATAAGACATATTTATTAACAATAACATCCTAATCCTAATCGATGGCTCTCAAACAAAAGTAATTCTTACTCCCTACAACATGGATGCTCAGAAGTGATAGGGAATTATAGGGAAATTCCCTATAATATAAGTATCGCCAGACTTGAAGAGAACATTTTTAGTCTGAAGATCCAAAATATTGAACATCAGAATTTCCTATATTAAATGAGTCAGCAGTCACTCTATGTTGATATTCTGATTATTTAGCCAGAATCTGATCTCTATAACTGATCAGAACTAGGTCCTTTTCAATGACAGTCTTTAAGGAAGAGGACGATGTTTCTTCTTCTCTTTCTCTGTCTTCTCTCTATCTTTCTTTCCTCTTGCTTCATTCCCTGTCTTCCTTATTCCTTATGCTGCACTATCACTGTTGAATGTTTGTCCTCTATTATGGTTCTGGAGATTTACCCCAAAGTTTATTAGCCTTAATAAATCACTGATCGACGCCCGTGTCGCCTACCTATGGTCAGGCCCACACCTCAACACTGTGCCTGTTTTAAGCTTGCTGAATAGTTCTGAATAGATCTTGATGGAAAAGCAAACATGAAACTCAAACTTTGCTCCCACTGGCCCATAACAATATACCATATTCCAACAGTATGAACTTGGCACATGAATGGGACAAGGTATTAAATATTAAGCAGTCATAAGAATAAGAACACTTGCATATGTTTTGTACTTTTATCTCAAAGGATCTCAGGTAAGAGGGGACTCACTTCATCTACCAGTTAAGTGCAGCACCTACCCAGGGGGACATGCTAGAGCAATTAAAGGCCAGAAGCCCCACTATACCGTAGATAGGAAGAAATGCACGTAAGTTTTTTTTTTTTTATCATACAATATGTGCAAAACGTCTTAAAGACTTTGGATCTTTGGTTATTGTAGGACATCCACCTGTTTAAGTGGGCTCATCCACATGAGTGTGACAGCATTGGCCTTTAAGAAGATAGCCAGAAACAATCCCTGTTTTTTATGTATTTTTCATTATGTACATTGTCTTCTGTTTGTGTAGATCTTTTTCCAGTGAAAATCAAAGATGAAGAAGAGTATGAGCAGGTCTTGGTTGCAGATCCACAGAGCCGTGGAGCTCCAGAATGCAGTCAGGATGCGATCGCTCCTCCACTTGATTGCTCTAAACCTTACTGTGTCCAGATGGTTTATGGTAAGTACTAAGTGATGGAATGACATCAAGTGACATTTTGTACATATTAAATAACGGTATATGTGATGTGTCAGGTGTTTGCTTCTCCATTGATGTGCCTACTGTTGAATTTGTTAAAACAGAACATCAGCTGTTCACAGGTACGTTTTGTGTCCTGAAGTAAAATAATTTAATTTTCATATTTGTTAGCTGTTAGCATTTGACATTTTTCTCTGTGGAAGAATTAACAATGGGATTGTTTAATAAATGATCACTCCCACATGTGCATGTTCATCATGACTGTATCACCTAGAAAGAGCTGCTTAAACAGAAAACAAGATTTCATTAAACTGTACAAATCAAAGTACTGCATAAAGTTCTTTATGCTGATGTTGGACTGTAATGCATCTATTTGTGAACCAATGACTGAATGCAGAAACAGTTAAGTGTTTAAGCACACGAGCACATTAATAACCTGATATCAGTTAGTATCCGTAGTTACTACTATTAACATAGTAGTAGCAGCAAAAACCAGCAGACATGGGGATCTCTGGGACTAGTTAGGGAATCACTGCTGTAGATGACTTCCTTGTTTCCCTCCACTGTTTCTGTGTGTAACAGGAGATCTGCTGACTGATCCGGGAGAGACCCTATCAAATACAAAAACCCAGTGTAGTAGTCCTGGAGCTGAGAAGGAATGCTACAGCCCCAAAGCTAAAAGGAGGAGAGGGTCTGGTTCACAAATGGGCATCACGGTATGGAAAATGGCGAAAGACTTCCTTTTGATTTCTCATTCTCTGCTTTCTCGAGCAGTGCTTCTCGTTCACAAGCAAAACTATGTCAATAACATAACACAGCTTTCATTCAGTGTATGTTAGCAATTTTTACTCCCTTTATAAATTAGAATATCCTTTTGTCCATTCTGTATAGTATCAACAGGGTTAATTCACCTTGAGTAGTGTATCATGTCCTATCTTTTATTGTCAAGTGAGGATGATAGAGTTAGCGTGGTTTATTGAATATGGAAGTATTTAATGCATGTAGTAAAAATGTAAAATTCAAAATGGGAAATGTTGAGCATGAAGAGGCTATTTATGTTAAAGACTTAGGAGTTTGTGTTCACACATTGCTTACATGTTCTCCACCAATTGAAACAGCACGCAAAACAGTAGGATATATAGATAAAAGCATAGAATTTAAATCACAGGATGTTATGTCAAAAATGAGTGACACACTGGTAAGATCTCATTTAGAATATTGTATACAGTGTTGGTCACCACATTTTAGAAAATATATTCCTACACTGACTCAAGGAACTGAACATTTTTGGTCTCGAATGGACACGACTACGAGGGGATCTGGTACTAGTGTTCAAAATCCTTAAAGGCTCTGACAAAGGAACAGTCAAACACAAACCAGAGGTTCTGAGATTGTGGAATAGACCATGCTGTGGAAGCTGATACTCAGGTTTCTTTCATGAAAGAGTTGTATGAGATCTTGGGCCAATTAACTACTAACGACTAAACAGACAAGGTGGGCTATACGTAACCTTTCTTATGTAGTTTTGGAACTTGGCTCAAAGATTTAACTGTTGGTACTCAAATACTTCCTGTTTAAAAAAAGCCCTCAATTGTTTGCCAAGCCAGTCAACTTATTTGGTTTATTTCAGGTTTTTGTGCCCTTCTTTTCTTTCAGTTCAGGTTCTGAAAGCTGACTGCAGCCTTCTGCTTGAAAAAAGAGTGTACACTCTGCTTCAAGGTGTAACAGGAATTAAAATGTTATTAAAACATACCCAATGTTACAGTACGTTACGAGTTGAGAAGCCAATTGCATTTCTTAGTAGGACCCGATTCTAGCGCGATTTACACCAGCAGCATGGGTGTGTGGTTAAATAAATGGAGGCTGGGTGTTGTGTACATCTTCCTTACCTGGGAAAGGGGATCTGAGTGACATCCCAGGAGTCCCAGGGAATTCCAGCCGGGCTGCACCGGCCAGCCTGACGCACATGAAGTCGTCCGCAGAAGAAGTCAGAAGAGAGGGAGCGGAGCTGCTCCTCGGTGAGGTGGAGAGGATTCAAGCTGGGAGAAGGACCCCTGTCGGCGCCCGCAGAGACGTGTGGGACGGTCAGGGGTGCCGGGGCACCCACCGGTGAAGTGGAACGACCTGTGCCGCAGGTTGCGCACGGAGCCAGCGGAGCGCCGTGAGGACGAAACAAATGGCACAGCGAAGCAACCAGAAGCAATGGCAAGGGGTCCCGACAAACAGGCAGAGGAGGAGAGCGTCCTTGTCGTGATGACTGAGCGGCCCAGGGTTTGAGAAGAGAGGCTACAGACGCAGCTCTGTTCTCTAAAAGGTGAGTGGTGAGTTTTGTGCCCTACTTGGAAGAGTTGTGTGCTGCAGGACCAGCAGTTTTTAGTGGTTTAGAACTTTTAATGGCTTTAGGAACCTTAAGTATGTTAAAACACTGCAACAGAAGATGGCGCCCTCCAAAAGCAAAAGGGTATGACAGTGTACCGCATGTGTAGGTCAAGGAAATTGTTGCATTTAATGTATGGAGACTTGTGTTAACCAGTTTTTGTGTGAAAAATATGTTTGGTGTTAGTACATACTGTATGTGTGTATTACAAATCTGAACTGCATGGTATATTTATAAATTCCTCAAGTTTTTCATAACAGCATTATAATAACATTTGTGTTATTATACATACCTGGACGAGCATTAAGTTAGCCTTTGCAAACAGTAATTGAAAAGGTAGTGTTTGTTGCAGATGAAATACGAGAAGAAAAAGTCCTCAAAGAGGCTTCATTAAAATGAAAATAACAGTTAATTATTAAACTAGGGTCTTATACATTTGTGTTTTTTCCCTTGTGTTGTGAGATTGTTTTGCTTCAACATCTTTATTTTTACTAATCCATGAACACGTAGCTGTTTGTCATTTACAGATTTCCTCAGAAACCTCAGTCTGGGAGAGACAACTTGAAATGTGTTCAAATTCAGAAGTGCAAGGGTTATGTGGAGACATTATCATAACAGAAATGTAATATGCTCTTTACAACTTTTCTGTTTTAACAGAAACTACTCCCCCCCACCATTGACTGTCAGTACTAAGATATGTGTAAAACACTGTCCTCATGACTGGCTTTCTTTCAAACAGAAGTCAGGAGTTCTGAAAAGCTCAAACCTGATTACAGCCCTAGCATGCAAAATACAGTTGTGTGACTTACACATGTGCCCCTGGCTACAGTATATGTGGCACAACCATGCTATCTGATCAGTATTAAATAGATTAATACGAAAGGTCAGTGGTGTTCTTAAGAAGATAATGCTAATCTCTACATGCTTTTTCAATCTTTGCTCCTCTGTGTGAAATCAGTAAGAAGGAAAAAACAAACTGTTTCTCTGCTGATGGAATGGACTGGAGAAATGTATTACTAATAGACTGTAGAAATTCATTTTAGAATGAACATTATTTCTTAAATGTCATTTTCCCTCTGCAGATCCTTCTGAATAGCCATTCATTAAAGTTAAAAAGTGCATTATGAGGAAAGAGATAAGATAAATTCAAGTGATTCCCTTGCAGTGAAAAGGCAGAGATGGTTCATCAGGGTTTCCCTTGTTTTTCAGACATTCCAAGTTCCTTCTCTTTGGGCCTCAAGATGCCAACCCTGTCTCTGCTGGAAAGTGAGTACCCCTTATAAAATAATCATCAATAGAAACATCTCCCAGACAATGACACGGATATCAGAAACAGAGAAGGCAGTTATGTGTGATGGTAGGACTCAGGACTCTTTTCAGCAGTACAGCTTTGCTAAAATTAGGTAAATGTAGGAAAAGACAACTTAAGACTTCTGACATTTTTGTAATCCTTAAGCATTTCAAGACATTAAGTCATGGAGGGGGCAAAAATACTGATACCAATGAAAGCTGAGTGGTAATATTTTACATTTTCTAACATTGCTTAGGAGAGGAGCTCATTAAGTATAGTGGTTGGATGTTGTGTAAAGCTGTGTACTGAACTGCAGTGCTCTCCTCTTCATCAGCAGGAAATAAAATAAAAGAAGACCCCCAGGATCTAAGCCTTTGTTACCAGATGAAATCCAGGTGAATGCTGGGTACCGGAGGGATCGCTCCCTTCAGAGACTTCCTAGCCAGGAGTACTGTACGGCCACATTGCCACCAGCCAGCCCCAAGGAGTCTTCATCACAGAGTGAGAGAGCAGATGGGAAACGTGTTTCCCAAAAGCCAATGTCTTTATTTCAGCAGGAATGAAGAGAGCGGTGGAATCTGACCTTTTGCGATCTGTATTGTCACCTGCCTCACAGACATTCAGCGGGACCTGGAGAAGTGAACACAGCCATGGGCTGTCTGGTTAGATGCCAGCCGTTCTTGCCTTGTAAAAGTTGTGCAGAATCTGGCTGTAGCCCAGGCCCAGGCACATGTCCCTGCTGCAGCCATTACAGTCATTCACCCTCTTTCCCTGGGAATTCTGCTCTAGAGGCATGGGCGGCAGCTAATGACTACACAACCAGTCTGAACATTTAGGAGGCCAGAGCAAAGCAACCTACCACCTGAATCAGTGCCTCCCATACCTTGTACAAGATCCAATCTAGGAGTCAGTAGATTCGGTAGTTTCATCAAGGTAAATAAAGGCCACCTCTCTTGATTTGCCAGATGAATGTGCAGATTTAGCATTTTGAGGCCTTTGCAAAAACAAGTAAAAGGATTTCTTCTTCATGGTCGTCATCGTGTGATTCATGAAATGGACTGACAAGGAAATTTTGAATTATAAATACAGAATATCCTCTAGTTATGTGGTATACATTGGGAGTTCACCATATACCTTCAAGTTCCATTTCCAGGCTCTTCTTCAGACTGTTTATTTACATCATCTTGTGTGATGTTTTAAAGCTTGTCTGACAACAAGTAAACTATTCTGATGATGCCTGCGTCTTGCAGGGTAACGTGTAATCATGAGACGTGTGTATACATTTGATGTCCAACAACCATGTGCCCTGTAGAGCAGTGTTACACCCAATCGTTCCTGATAGTTCAGTGTGAGATGGCCCTGCCAGGATGGTTCGAAACTGGGTCTTGTGTAGTGTTTGTGTTCCTATTTACATTATTCCCATGGAGCATTGGAACAGGGTTCCTCCCTCAGTGAGTAGATGCATCAGGCTGGTAAGGAGTTGTTCATGAACACTCTCAGGAAAGGAAGACAAAGATGCTGCAGAATCATAAAAGAAAAAATCCAAATCAGTGAACTTTGTGTTTAGTATTCCAAGAAAGCAAAGTCAGTAACATGTTTATTACTATTTGCTATTAATGCCAGTTTAGTCGTGATAACCAAACAGAGCTGTAGTGCCGTTGTTCTTATACTTTTTATGTCCTCAGGTTTTCCTTCAGAAGAAATGCAATCACAACCCTTTCACTGTCATCTTAGCATTGCTAGTATGTTGTACATTAATTGCTATGAGGGTTTTCTGTATTCATGCATTTGATTAGTAATAACTTCAATGAATCGGTGTATTTGTATTTGGGATAATAGATAATGAATGATGACCATAATGAATATCTGCTCCTGCTGAACTCCAGTTCACCAAGAATGTAGTGCCTTGCAAAAGGATTCGTACTCTTCCTATTGCTTCCCGTGTTACAAAATGCTTCCCGTGTTAATATTACAAAATGATACGTACACATTTTCTTTGAAACTTAAAATCCCATTCAGAAACTGAACTCACAAACTGAAGACATCTAGAAGAAAGATAAGTTACAGCGAATGTAAGGAAAAGCTATTGAGAAGGAATTGAAACTGGTTATTTCTTAAGTATACAGACTTGTGAACTCAGTATTTGGTGGAAGCACTTTTGGTAGCAAGTATAGCTGCACGCTAGCCTATACCAACCAAAGACAGCCAAAATGTACCAAGGCAACTAAGTCTTTTAGGGTAAAACCTCTACCAACTTTGCACACTGGCTTGGGGCAGTTCCTGCCCATTCTTCTTGGCATATTTGCTCAAGCTGTATCATGTTGCTTGAAGAAAGTTCACTTTTCTTATTCTCATAACTTTGCCTACAAGAAAAGCTCCAAGTCGGCTTTAACTCATTGTCCCGTTAAAAGGTCAGTTTTAGGTCAGAAGCAGGTTTTTCTCTAAGATATGTCAGTACTTTCCTCCATCTATGTTATCATCACTTTTGAAAAGCTTCCAAGTCCCCACTGATAAGTAACAGATCTATTGCTCACACCTGAAGAAAGCTCCACAGCCTAAACTGTGTTTTCTTTTTTTCAGCATGGAATAAACCTATTACTTGTTCCTTTGCAGCCTACACATGCTCTCGCAGCTACCCACCTGAACTACTGTATATACACTGCGCTTGCAGAAGTATTTAGACCATTTCAGTTAGCATTTTATTGCTTTAAAGCTTGCGGTCGTGACACTCTGAAGTAACAACTAATGTCATATAAAAAAGAACTCCACACATTGAAAGTAAAAAAAGGAAATAAATAACATGGAAAAATAGAAAATGTCGTAATTGCGTAAATGTTGAAACCCACTGCCATTGGAAACCTCAAAGTGATGTTAATAAGCCACTCATTGTGCCCAGTGCCACCTGTTTGTGTGGAGTTATAGTGGTTGACATAATCTCACAATCAATACATCTATCTCTGTAAAGTCCCACAGACATATAGTAAGTTTTGAGCAAAGATCGTAAGGCACAGATCAGAAGAAAGGTCTAAAATATATTTTTTAAATGTAATCTCTCTTTGAGCATGGTGAGGACCATCACTAAGAAGTGGAATTTACCCAAACACTGCCCTGATCAAGCTGTCCCCCACTAACAGAAGAGCCATCTGGAGGAAACTGATAAGGCACGCAACAGTGAGACCGGCAGTGACTTCAAAAAGTTACAGAGATCAGTGGTAGAGGTGGGAAAAGTCCGCAATATCCCGGTCACTCCACAAAGCTGCCCTGTGTGTGGCACAGAAGGAAACCTACATATTCCCACTTGGAGTTTGCAATAGAGCATTTAACTGATACTGCAAACATGGCAAAACTGGCAAAAGGTTTTTGTGGTTGGGACAAAACTGGAAAACAAATAAATGCAAAAGAGTTCTGTCTGTCACAAACCCAGCATACTGTGTGTCATTAGGTCAATGCCACCCCTGCTGCCAAGTGTATATACAGTAATCACCTGAATGCATTTCTGTAGTATAGAGCAGTGTGGATCTGTATCTTACACCCTCGTGATATCTATAGAATTATAAGATTTTCAATTCTGGTTATTCTGAAGCTACAGTATGCTTTGCACTGGCAAGATGTGACTCTGGTTAATGTTTTTTCCTTCCACCATTTTCGTAATGTGCCAACAAGCTTACAGGCTAAGATAGCAGTCCTGGTCTGGGCAAGGCGATGTGTGCGTTAGTCCCAGACAGTATTCTCCAAATTGAATTGAAACATTTGCCAGATGTCACAAGGTTCTCCAAATGCAACTTTTGCCTCCCTGCTCCTGCCATCGCGAATGAACAGAGAGGCTGAGTCTCAGCTTACACCTCCCCAGATACTGAAAGGAATCCGCCGGGCATGTTCAGTTGTGGTAAAACAAGTTTCCAGGTCTGAATTTGATTTAGTCTTTTTCACCATTTTTTTTTATATTCAAAGGTTTGTTTTGTTAAATGTGATGGGCAGCTGTTGTCTTCCAAGTGTGGACTTGATAATGGAAGTAAGAGGGTCCTGGTGGAGAAAGCCAACATCTCAAAAGCCTATTGACATTTGGCAGCTCAATCACAGTGATCAATAACTGTGTCATGTCAGTGAAGAGGGGGATACAGACAGTAATGGAGGTTCTGTGGGTTTTTTTAAAAAATATTGATTGTAAAGTTTTGATTTCCTAAATGATGTAACTTTGTCCTGTTGAAATGTTGTCTTATGCAAAGTCACTTTTAGTTTATTGCCTTTCAGCGTTCATGCTCGTATGCCTGTGGTCTAGGCCACAGAGTCATGCTCCTAGTGTCTAAATCTGTCCATTCTTTATTTTCGGTCCTCTGCATATCTTGTATGTGTAAAAATGAGTTTAACCCTTATGCTGTTTCCTTTTCAGAATGGTCCAAGACTGCTGGGCAGAGTGGATCATCAATGTGATTTTTTTCAGGCTGTGATGTTTATACTGTATTGTTTATTTTTTCATTCAAGACATTTCAAGATGTTTTTCTAGGTGACAGAATGCAATGAAGAGTCAGAGGGAGAAGAAGTTTCTAATGTCCTTTATGAATGCCAGCCTCAGTACGATGTGAGTATGCAATTCTTCCTATCTTGGAGCCCGGGAACTTGTCTCACAAGCAAATCTGTTGTATGGGGAAGTACTTGCTATACCTGGGGCATTTACTCTGGACCAACTCTGGTTCATGTTGGTCTGTTTAATCTCAATCTTAAAATAAATATCATGTTCTACCTTATGATGGTGAAGTGACAGCTGAGGACATCCACTGCTGGTGAAGGCACTAGTGTCTCAGCTTTTCACTGGTGATTTTATTAGGTTGGTAATTTGTAACATTCTAATATAGATAGTTGTACAATTACATGCTCAGGTTCCAATAGTGTATAGCAGAGCAAAACCCTCTTAGATTTTCAAAGAGTCTCAGGGACGTGTTCTTACTCAGCAGGAACATGCAGTTTCTGAAGATTTATACAGCATCGATCAACAGAGAACTCTGGGAGAGATACTCAGCTACTGCCAGGTAATTCACTCGCCAGAGTGAAACGTTTTCCCTTTCCACCAGTATTCTTTAATTTTCATTTAGCTCAAAGACAGCAGGCACAGGAAGTATCGCCCATGCTTTTTTGTATGCTGTCGATTTTGGGGTTTTAAGATTTTCAGTTTTTTGTAAAAACTTTGTGTTTATTTCCTTAAAAGGAGCTTGCGCAATTTAGAACATTCATTTTAATTGTGCGGGTATACCCCTGAGCTATTTTGTTTTGCCCGTTGTTTCATGTTTTCATTGATGTTGATCAATAGCAGAAATAAACAGTTCTATATTGTTACCTCTGTAGAGTTATAATCCACTGGAGACCTTTTTTCTGAGCAGAAGAGGAGTTTATTGTGTGTTTGGCAAAAGGGAAGCACCCTCCGTGCAATTAGGAAGACGGTTCCAGCAAGAAAAGTTACAGCTGACCTTACTTACACTTACTTGATAAGGAATACAAAGGAAGATGTCGGAAGATGTCTACGTAGCTAACCTATATCTGTGTTTTCTTCAAGGAGATAGCTATAATTGGCCTTCTACACAAAATAATTATTTGGGATTCTTTAAACAAGCATTCTTTGTGTCTGCACCTGGTCTTCTCAGCAGCAGATACTGAAATGTTGCAGCTGGCATTTTGCTGAAACAGAAAAATAATTTTTAACCCTTCACCTCTGAAATGGTTCTTAGTTTTCTGATGTTCACGATCATTTCTTCCAGATTATGTATGAGGCTATCCAGAAACTTGATCAGAAATTTGACCAGCTGCAAGCAAAGGTGATGAATGTGTCGGCAGTCGATTTGAATCCAGTGCTGTTTCGACAGGTAAAGTTACACATTAAGGGATCTTTCCTTTATTTGAGTTATTTTTTTCATTATTACAACTTAATGAAATAATTAACCTCCTGAAACCGCCTGAAAATAAGACCTTCTGAGCTAGGTATTCAAAACAAATTTGAACAAAGCATTTTTGAGGTGCAATATATTATTTTAGTCATTTGTCAATCTGTTTGACACTTTCATCCAAAGTGATTTATGTAGTGATGTGAGGGTTTTAATTTACTGAAACAATTATAAATTGGAATAATAAATTGCAAGAGTACTTTGACGACTGTTAGGAATTAATCTAACAGTCTCAGACAGATTCTCAATGTACAGTATGTAATTTATTGATATAACACCAAAAGATGCATAACGAAACAACAAACGTAATAGAATTGTTTATCAGTCTCATATAGTTAAATCATATTTATATTCTCACATATGAATAAATATTTACTATCGTGAACTAAACGATCAATAGTTCAGCTCTTGAGAATTGAAATGTGAATAAAGTTTGATACTCAAAGACCTGTTGGCCAAACATTCTTGAAGAGTTCTCTGCTGGAAAGACAGAGTTGGACCAGGTTGGTCCGCAGTCTGGCAGCTGCTTGCTCTGTGATAGAGATAAGAGAGTGAGAGATAGCTTTGCCTAGCGTCGCTGAGGACAGCTCTGCCAGAAGTTAGCATCACTGCTCTTCTGTCTTCTGTCTTCTGTCTTCTGTCTTCGTCTTCATGCTTGGGCCTGACTACTAGTGCAATGGTGATCCCAGCTATAGATTTTACTGAATATACTTGGATATTCATAATGTCAACAGAAAAGAGTTAAACTGTCTTAATTTCATTGATCAGGCAAAAATAACAGTGGGTTCATGAACACAATATTTCTTCTACGGTGGAAAGAATATCTTGGTCAGAATTCTGTACTTACTGACCCACACTCTTGGCCCAGCATATTGGAAAGTTTAAATCCTGACCCAGGCTGCTTGCAGTCACTTGAATGGAAAAGTCAGAATGCCAGGTCAGTTGAAGAGTTGTACCAGTGAGTTAATCAATGAAAATGAACTGGGTTCTAGCTTTTAAGGTATGACATCCCAGTTGAGGATTAATTTAGGATGTTATAATAACAATAATTAATAATTACTTACACTTATATAGCACTTTTCTGGACACTGAAGCATTTTACAGTTAATGGGGACTCCACTCCACCACCAACAGTGTGCAGCCCCCACCTGGATGATGCGACGGCAGCCATAGTGCGCCAGAATGCTCACCACACATCAGCTATCAGTGGGGAGGAGAACAGAGTGATGAAGCCAATTCATAGATGGGGATTATTAGGAGGCCATGATTGGTAAGGGCCAATGGGATATTTAAGACAGCATGCCAGGATTACACCCCTACTCTTTTCAAGAAATGCCCTGGGATTTTTAATGACCACAGAGAGTTAGGACTTGGGCAACACTATAGTGACTATAGTGACTGTCCCCATCACTATACTGGGGCATTAGGACCCACACAGACCACAGGGTGAGTGCCCCCCACTGGCCCCACTAACACCTCTTCCAGCAACAGCCTTAGTTTTTCCCAGGAGGTCTCCCATCCAGGTACTGACCCAGCTCACACAGCTTAGCTTCAGTGGGTTGCCAGTTGTGAATTGCAGGGTGATATGGCTTCTGGCATATAATCCTGATACCCTCCCGACGATCCCTCATTGGCATGTCTTTTGGGTGATGGACAGTGATCTTGGAGCCCACCTGTGCCATACATCCTTAGGGTGTTTCAGGATGAACACAGCTTTACGCCATCCTGTTCTGTGGATTTACTGTATTTCTCTGATTTTACACAGAGGTCCAAGCTGCTTTGCCAAAGGAACAGAAAGATTATTAATAACCTTTAATAACACATAATTCTAAGTGTAATAATATGCCTTTCTGGTACACTTACACATGTGCTCATTCTCATGGATATTTTACTAAAACAGTTTGAGTGAAGGTACTTTGCCCAGTGGTACAACAACAGTGCTCCATCTGGAATATGAACCCACAGCCTTCCAGTTAGGAGTCCAGAACCCTAAATACTACTCCACACTGCTGCCTAAATAAATGGTGTGATGAGCAGCAATAAGTGGTACAGAGAATTAAGAATCCTGTGTTCGCATTTTGTTTGGTATTCCAGAAGCCACAGCTGCCTGCTAGCAATGGACACCCTCAGGTCAGGACAGAGACCTCTCCGGTGTCAGACGGCAGTCTGCCGATGCCCCAGCTCATGCCGGTGTGTTCCCCTTCCCCACCGCCTCAAGGCGAAGGGAAGAAGCCCCCCCCACTCTCTCCAGCCCCCAGGGTCCCCAGCCCCCCACCACTGCTCCATCAGCAAGGACAGCAGAGCCGGCCAGGCCAGGCGACCGTCTCCGCGCAGGGCACACCCTCCACCCGCAGGGCCACGGGGAGTCTGAAGAACACCCCCCCAGCCGCGGAGAACACCGGAGCCAAAGGCAGCCGCAAGAGTCCTTCCGGGGCCCCCCCCAACACCAAAACAGGTAGCTCCTTAACGGCGGCCTTCATGGTCAGCTCTTCCTGTCATTGTGAGGCAGAATTGGACAGGCGTCAGATTGTTCACCCACTACAAGGGAATGTGAGCCGGGTCACACTGTCGTGAGACAGCTCAGTTTTACTGGAGGGGCTGCATGCAGCTTTAAAATATCCAGTAGCTTGAGAGGCTGGGTGACACCCTCAGATTATACTCGGTTGCCTTCATTCGCAGGTGTTCTTTCAGAAAGAAGCAAGAGTTGGCTGGGTTTTGTTTTGCTAGGTTTTTTTATTCCCCCCGTAGGCCATTTCTGGGCTCCTGGTTTGTGTTTGTGTTGTGTTCTGGAAAATAAAAAAATATAGGTGGTGGTAACTCATCCCTATTAAAATGCATGCAACCCTAGATTACATATGACATGCCTTATTGGACAGCTTTACTGTCTTTTCGTAGCTTGTTTCTTGGGACATATTATGCCATCATTGCTAGAATGGAATCTTTCTACATTTATTTATTGTGTTACGGGACGTTTGCCCGAGCCCTCAGCCTTCTTCTGGCCCCATGCAAGCATCAACAAAAGTGGCAAACTACTGAAACAATAGAAAAATTGGAAAGAAGCAGCAAAACTATTTAAAAAATGCTGTTATTTAAACTATTAGTCTCTTTTTTTAGATCTCCCAAGTATGTATAAAAAATGCTTCAGACCCTTTCTTTCACAACAGGGCAGTGGTGAAGTGGAAGATCTCCTTTGGCGGTCTCGAATTTGTGCAAAAAGCTTAAGAAATCTGCATTGTAAAAGGTGCCTTGGGATGTTTTAAGTTATAGTGAACTGTCGTGTTTTTGCACCATTTCACGGCTGGCAGAGCTGATTGGAGACCCCCGGAGGCAGGTGAGGATCCCCAGCAGTGTGTTGCAAAAAGTGTCCAACAAGAAGAACCCGAGGAACATGGTGCGCTTCCTTCTGCGCGGCCTGTTCTCCGTGGAAACCCTCACCTCCAGCAACATCATGGGGGACTCAGTGAGGGGCCTGAAGAAGCTCGACCCCAACAAAATCGCTGCGATGAGAGGTTGGCCCCGTCAGACTTCTCCTTCTTAGACGGGGAATCTTATGCCCCGCCTATATGAACGAAGTCCTCTGAAAGGGACATGTGGATAATATTGCACAAAAAAAAACGACCAAATTCTTATTTCTGGAGAGGATTTAATTTTTGGAATCATTTCCCATGTACTCCCTCAATTAAGTACCTTTGATTTTAATATCTTTGCCTTCTCTGCTCGCCACTTCAGAATTGTTGGGAGTAAAACTCCATAGAACAGTGCAAAATAACAGTGTGCAAGGAATGTGTATGGTGGGAGACAGGGTGGCGAAGTGGTTAGCATTCCTGCGCTTGTGGCCTGTGTTCAATTCCAGACCTGGGTTGGTATGTTCTCACCATGTTTGTGGGGGTTTTCTCCAGGTGCTTCAGTTTCCTCGCAGAGATGCACTGGTGGGTTAATTGGCCTCTAGAAAAAGTGGCCCTGGTGCGAGTGTGTGTGTGTGCAAGCGTCTGTGTTTGTGTGTGCCCCGTGAGAGGCTGGCCCTCCATCCCAGTTGTACCCTGCCTTATACCCGTTGCTTGCTGGGATAGGCTCCTGCTCCCCTGAGACCCTGAATTGGAGGAAGTGGTTAGGAAATGTATGGAATGTGTAATAATATAGCCCATTTGAAGTTTTCCATTCATGTTGAATCACTTTTGTTTCACCTGTCAGCAAAGATGTCTGCCATGTTGTTTGCCTAATTCTGTGGTATTCTCATTACTTTACCAGAGTGGCTTTCAAAAAAGTTTACACGATACGACCTGAGAGAAAATGGTAGAGATTGGAGAGCCTGCATTTCCATCATGAACTCGACGGCAAGATACCTTCGCTTTGAAGCTAAGAAAAACAAGGTGAGTAAACCCTTCGGTAAAGGTCAGTATTCCTGGTTAAGAAGTTCAAAGGAATTCAGCTGTTCCATTTGTCCTTTTTTCCATTTACCAAAAACTACCATTAACATAATTTGTCAGGGAAAAAAATACTATAAAGTATAATAATCATCAAAATAATTATTTTGAAGCATATAGTAAGTGTAGCTTTTATGTGCCCTAAAATAATTCACACACAATAAAAACATGTGAAAGATGGATGTGAAAAGGCTTATGTATAGTATCTACTGTATAGTTTTTTTATATTGAGGAAGTAATGTCAGGAATCGATTGGCTAGTGTGGCTTCCTCAGATAGCTGGGGCCCTGGATTAAATTTCTGGGATGCTAATTGCGTGGAATTTGTATGTTCTTCCTATGTTCTCGTGGGTTTCCTCCAGGCAACCAGTTTCTTACCACAGTCAAAAGACGTACTGGTACGTTAATTAGCTTCTGGGAAAACTGGCCCTGGTGTGAGTGTGCGTGTGTGCGTGTCTGTGTCTGTGTGTGACCTGTGCTGGACTGTTGTCCCTGCCTGACGCCCATTGCTTGCCAGGATAGGCTCCGTCTCCCCTTCAACCCTGTATTGGATAAAGCAGTTAGAATGGATGGATGACGGGGATTATTATCATTTAGGACTGCTGAGGCAAATTGAGCTTGGCTGCTGTCCCCCATTCATGAAACACCCATGGAGTTTCATTGTGAACTCCTTTAGAAAACCATTCAAAAAAATGCATCCAGTTTTATTCTTCCTCACACGAGTCTGCTGTTCTTCAAAGCATAAACAACAAAATGAAAAGTTCAAAGAAGGACCCCCCGACAAAGACGAGAGGGAGGCACCTGCTTTGGAAGAAACAGCAGAGATCGATGTGGAGCTGGAGTCTGACAGTGAGGGAGGCAGCCCGTCTATTTCTTGCAAATCCAGCACCTCTCAGGTGCATCAGAGGGCATTGGACAGCAGCTCAAGGCTGAACCAGAAGAAGGACAAGACGGAGTCTGAGGAAACTCTGGGTAAGTTTGTTTCACAACAGTGTGTTTGATACTGGATGTCAAAGAAGTCACTGTGAAAATCAGCCCCTTAACAGAATGGATATGCAAAAGAAGAGTGCATGAGATCTTAGGAGCCAGCAGTTTAAAAGGAGTAGGAAATGTAAAAGAATTAAAAATTCAACAACCGTAGAGCATTTCAGATTTTTTTGTTGAAAAAGAAAAGCACAGATACACAATACAATACAGAGTTGAAGTTAGAAGTCACTGGTTCTTGACTGAAATGAAATATGTTTTCCTTGACCTTTTCCAGAACTTGTTTCTAGTCAATTAAAAAGAGCTGATTCAGATACTTCCCGATTTACAGTACATAAATGCAACTCTCCACTAAAAGTTGCGAGCAAGTCTTGTTCCACACTGCCCTGTGAGCATATGTTCTCTTGCATGTGTGTTTTCTGGAATAATTTTCGCACTGTGTTTTCAGTGTTACGCTTTTAGTCATAGTGGAAAAGATTTCTAGTGATGTTAAAAGCAAGCCATCACTAGGAATTGAGGTATGTTGAGTTCTATGTAACAGATTTCTTTTGACAGTTCTTCTTGTTGAAATTACAGTTTTATTATCACTGTACCAGTTATCCTGTTTTTTCATTATAGAGTGAGTCGGTGAATGGAGCAACAGAAGCAGGACATTAGGGTTGCAAATTTACAGGGGTTTATTTATCTAAATAGGAAGCAGGTGTGCTCTAATCACTGAAACGGGTTGTGAGCGAATTCTCTTACACCCCATGTGGTAAAAGACTGGTGTCTACCAGACCTCTTTTTATCTTGTGAGAGTGTAACATTAAAGAACACTCCCAGCAGTACCATCACTGGGGGCTGGAATGCTACAGTATTTAATACTGTAGTAATTAGCATTTTTATGTAATAATGATAATTATAACAGTCTATGTTATCATTATCCAGATAAGAGTGTGTTATGACTTTCATTAACTTGGTATTTAACCCTTATATAACTCAGGAAGTACCGGTAGGTCCTTGCAGTTCTTTAGGGCTTTTCATCCAAAGGACTGCAGAGTGTTTTGCATGTAGATGAGAACCCACTTCATTCAGTGGGTTTTTGAAGGCCTTTGCCTGAAGAGAAACTGGTGATCGAGCGAGTCCACCAGCCTATTACATATGTTTGTTTTGCTCAAATGATTCCTTCAAACGAAGCGCCATGCGTGTGCTTTTCTTTTTCCCCAGGTTCTGTAACACGTTCCAACATTCAAACTTGAATCAGTCACTTTCCCTTTTATTCAGGTCACAGAACATGGAACATTGTTTGACGAAAATAATAAAATTTTAAACAATTTGTCCTGCCAGCTTTGTTCAGCATGCGCGTATACCATTGTAGTCAGGAAGACAAAATGAAGGATTCGATGTAAGTCTAACAAAGTCATGGCCTTGCTTATCCACACTGCCAAGCAGGAGAGAAACCTACATTTGAAACATATCAAGGTCAATCAGAAGGTGGACCGAGAGGAAACAATTGGCCAGTAGCTATGAAGACCTTGTTTTCTGATGCCCCCAAGCAAAGTCTTTACACTCGAAGGTTCAGGTCCTGAGGGTGGTGCTTCGAACACTGACTGTTCTCAAGGTCAGACTTTTCAAGGCACACAAACCCTCCTCACAGGATAGTTTCCAGGACATAACAGCATGTTCTGTCATGCCGACAGAGTTCCTTGGGGATCCCTCACGGCAAGTCATGGTGCCACAGTACGCACTGCTGACGGCTCGGCTGAGGACCAGGCCCGAGCTGGCGGCTCGCTTTCTCATCAAGTACCTGTTTCCCTACGACTTGCTGGTGAAGAGCAATGTTTATGGCAACAGGGAGCGTGGAATTCTGGCTCTGGACAGGAACAGGATCAGCGCACTCAGAGGTAAAAGCTACATTTTGTGTCAGTTGTTTTGTTGTTGTTCCAAAGAACACTGTAGACCTTTCTAACAGTCAAAACAATTTCTTAATACAGTCCATGTTATTGCTACAACAACTACTACTCAGGCTGAACAAAATTCTGATAAGTAGTAACTGTATAGTTTCCTGTGTCCTGGCTATAATCCTTTCCTTCCTAAAGTTTTTCAGTTGGTGAAGTAATTAGTTATCTGCTGTGTAGTTAGCAGGGCTGCTTGTATATCACAGCTGCCACATATCACTCAGTAGTAGATAAAGTAAGTGCCTTCCTATTTTGTAGTCAAGCACATTGGGGTCCTTTGGGGTGAAATACACTGTAGAAATGCAGGAAATATATAGTAATTAGAAGTCAAAATTATTTTTTTTACTTGCTTCTGATTATGACCTGAAAATGTAGCATCTAATTTAGATAGTAGCAATACATCATGAAACAATCTAAGAATTATTAAAGGTTTAAAAGTTGCCTTTGGGTGCAATCTGTTCCTTCTCCTCTCCACAGAGCACCTTAAAGAGCAGTATCCCTGGTTTCTTTTAGAGGAGGACGGACAGGACTGGAAGGCTTGCGTGGGCGCCATTAACAGCACCATCCGCAAATTCAGGCACGAACTTAAAAAGGGCAAGATGGTCAAATAGAGCTTCTGAACGCTACTGTACCTGTAGCCTGGCAAGGACCTGGGACCACATGGCTCGTCTCAGCACGGCTCCAGCAGGTTTCACACAGCTCAGGTTCCATTGTGAAATCTGGGGCCCTGGGATCCATATTGTTACAACTTAGCAGAGTCGGGAAAAAGACTGATTGTTAGGTCAAATGTGAGGCACATACTGTATGTACTGTACTTGGCTTTCTCCAAAACAAATCTTATGATGAATTAGAATCGAAGCTGGATAAAACACACATTTATTAACAATAATAATAAACATAACTACACAACCCAGAGCGTTACATATGTCTATGCGTTTCAGAGGCCTATGTCCTGCAGAACCAGAAGGCTAGAATTCTACCCTTTGTGCAACACCTAAACAAGCGAAAAGAGAATAACCTGCATCCAAAGAAATGGATCATCACACCAAGAACATTTCTAGTCTGAGAGCTCCACTCTACAGGAAATGTACATAAGTAGGACTGCTAGCTCTCTGTAATAATGTTCCGATTACTTAACCAGAATTTGGTCTCCAAGACTGATCAAAACAAGGTCCTCTACCATGTCACAAGCTTGGAGGGAGAGGAGGGTGATGGTAAGACTCCCTCTGTGTCTACTTCCTCTCTAGTTTCTTCTTCCTAACTTCTTCCCTGTATTTATGCTGTGTTCTATAGCCGTTATCCTCTATTATAAGTATAAGGATTAGCCATGAATTTACAGTAATTAACTAGAGTAAACCATCAGAAACACCCTTTGATCATCTGTTTTCCTGCCTCTCCTTGGGCATACTGACTTGTTAGCTTGCAGACTTTACTTGTGCCAGCAGGCGAGTCATTTGGCTGACATTCAGTGCATGTACTTCTCTCTCCTCAGTTATTCACTCCACTTCTGTACTTGACAGAGCCATTTAATGAGCTGCTTAGCACACGTTTAGGAATTCCTTTGACTGTTTCATGCAATAATTTCTAAAAGGTGTAGCCCTGGTAAATAATAACTATTTCACAACCTGAGCATCACATGGGCCACAGAAGAATAAGAAAAGGGGGGGCTTCAAACTTTGTCGCTTCACAGCGGTGTGGACAGTAAGATGAGGAGGCGCAGGAGGTGTTTGTGCATGATCATCTGCTTACATTTTTTGTATTTGTGCATGTGTAAATGAGCTTGAATCCTCGTGGTGAAAGATTTATTCAGGAAACGTTGTTAATCCCACCATGAGTTTTGGGATTTCTATGCAATTTTATTCACTAGCTAGATAAATAGCCCACCTTGTGTTATTTATCAGATTTTAGTACAAATTATGACCATGTGCAACATTTGCTGTTAGTAAAGTACCTTTTCTATGCTTACAACCTTAGTTTAAAAGAATTGTTAATAGCTTTCAAAACATTTGTTTTACTTGTTTTATGTTATTGGAAAAATAATAAGTTGTAAAACAAGCATGTAATGTTTTATACATTATGGAGGTTAATGTTTCCTATTCTACTGAGTGCAAAAATACAGAAGTGCATTGCTGCCACCAAGGAAAGGAAGGGAAAGCCTTAGTTAACTCGTAGTTATAGATTAACTCGATATCAGATTAACACGTAATTACGACGATTAGAAACCTGCTGGAGCAGTGCTCAATGTTCTCGCGTACTTTATGCGATAATGTGATACCATAATTATACAATACCTACATTGTCTGACTTTTAAGCAGTGGAATCCATTCCAGGGCACACTTGTTCTTGTTTAAGAATGCGTGTGAGTGTCCTCATAGTTAAAACTGTTCACATGAAGTACAAACTGTAATATTTCATTATGAATTAACCACTGGGGAAAGTAAGTCCGTGCGCATTTTGTTGTGTTGCACACTGACAAAAACACTGAACCCCACAGTTCCAGCAAAGCCACCGGTAGCCTGTAGGTGCTGTCATTGTACAATGTAACAGGTTATGATACACTGAAATGATCGTTGCTACCTCGTAATTACGAGGTAACTCGGGTTTTTTTCCCTTTGTGGCAGCAATGCGCTGGAAACTACATCCGCTTTTTGAGTTTTGAGAATTGTTAGAGTATCCGGGTACCCTGTCGCTGGGATTCTCCCTCTCCACAGAGAGTAAAAGTGGTTCTATTGAGCGGCCTCTCTCTGGTGAGGGAAATGTCCGAGACGGCGACCTGGGCCTTTGCAATTAGAAGGGTGAGTACCGTTTCATTTACCACCCTTGCGTTGCGTTCAGGGAAATTCGCCAGGTCGAGGGGATTCTGCCGGGGTATCCAATCAGCCTACATTATATACAGTATTCAGTGAAGAACACACCACGACCTGTAGGGTGAAACTGCAGGTTTTACGCGCATTTGGCATCGTGTATTCGGAAGATCTGTGTGCAAGGAGTTCAATGTGCGATGTTATCGCACATAAAGCAAGATGTTCGGGCAGGAATGGAATGCAGCAGCATTGTGTAGTACTGTAAATAGATTTAAGTGTGTACTGAAAATGAAAGGACCAGTGATTGAATGAACCCAGGATGCGGTGCAAAAAAGCCTGACGAGGTTGAAAATGTGAGGATGGTCGTCTCGGTTAACTGCTGCTGAGCGCGTCCGGTTAGACGGAAGAAAAGAATGAAAAAGGCTTTTTATTGTGTGTGGACAGAACTAGAGGCTAAAAAAATACTAAAAGAATTGCGGGATGAAAATAATACATTAGCGCTAGGAGCTGATGAGGTAGAAAAAGTGCACTCTGCCTCACAAATGCCTGCAGGCTTTTATTTATTTAGGAAGTTGTGTAGCCGTTGCATTCTGGAAATAAATATATAAAAGCATCACCTAGTGTACATATTCCGAAAATAAGTTATCGTAGTGATCAGATAACGTAAAAAACAAAGGTTAAAAACTAAGCTCCTAAACACGTATTAAGAGCTCTGGTTGTGGCCAGATCATACGAGTGTCTTTAGCCATCTAGGTACGACTAAAGTAAATGTAAAATAGACCGTAAAGTAACTTAAAATATCAAGACAAGGCCAAATTACAGTACAATTACAGGTGAAGATAGTTTAAAAACAGGTGCAGATATCATTTTACAAGATAAATCAAAGATGACAAACACTGTACTTCAGTGTATGTATGAACAGCTGTGGGATGTAACTAGTAAAAAAGTCAAGACAAAAGCAATAACTACATTTAAAGCTAAAGGATATTGTTTCACTGCAATTATAAGTAAACAGACAATAAAACCCTGAGCAGTTAGGGAAGCTATTAATCAGAAAGGGAAATGTTTTGAGGAATTGTACTTTGTATAGTAAGCCAACACTTAACATGAGGCAAATAGTGAAAACAAAAATATACCTAAGAAACAAAACAAGTAAAGTGAAGAAAACTGGAGTTTGTCTGATTTTATTTGATGGAGATGGAAGGGTGAACAAGAAGTACAAAAAACAGGTGTACAGATAACAAAACTGGCATTGGAAAGACCAGCCAGCTGCATGAGAATGAAGGTCTGAAATGTGAAAATAACAGTTCTCGGAATTCATGTCAGGCAGCTGCAGATAAAGCAGTGTTCAAGAGACTCTAAATAAGGTGGAGATACGACTAGCAAAGGCAAATCCGAGAATGTGAACGGGGGGAGTGTTAAAATCAGAGAGACTACTTCACACAGAGCTTGCTGATCGCTGTGAAGGGAGCAGGAATGGAGATCTGGGAGGCAATGCTTGGAAAAAAAGATTACTTTAACACAACCGAAATGTGGATTTACCCTTAACGTATTAACCTCCATTTAACATTTGAATATAGTGCCTTCTTTTTTTTTGGGCTGTGACATCAGTCTGCGAAGTTGGCACCATTACAGAAAGATCAGAACTCCCATGTCTCTCATAATATTCCATTTTTTTCTGCATATTTGAAAGCACTTTACCAAGTGTGTCTTTACATGTAAACTTCCAGTGCACTACGAATACTGCATTGAGTCAGCACAGTAGATTAGATGCTCCTGTGTCACTGTTTGTATGCTGACTAACATCAGTACAACTGTAGACTCTTCTGAGCCTCTCAATGACTGGGACTGCACAGGTGTTGCCAGCCCAGTGTGTTCTCACAGGCATGGGGCCTGCGTGGTCTGCTGCCACTGGAAGCCATGTTCTGCCTACGAGCGTCAGGCTCCTTCACGGTAGGAGCTTATTGTCATTTAAGCCCTGGTGAAGAGCAGAGCTGAATGAAGAAGTAGAAACAAAAGAAGTGGCCCAAGCTGCTCTGGCCAGCAATTATGCTGACCCCCACAATCATTCAAAGAAGAGGAAAGTCAAAGTCAGTCTGGAACGACAAACAGCAGTGAGGTTAGAAGGCCCTGTAATGGGTGGTGTGTATGACTATACTGTAAAAAAAAAAAGGCCCCGTCCTTCAGATGAGACGTAAAGCCAAGGTCCTGACTCTCTGTGGTCATTAAAAATCCCAGTTTCTCTAAAAGTGTTGGGGTGTCACCCTGGCGTCCTGGCCAAATTTCTCATTGATCTTTACCCTCCATGGCCTCCTACTAATCCCCCCTCTATGAATATGCTTCATTACTCTGTTCTCCTCCCCACTGATAGCCGATGTGTGGTGTGTACTGGTGCACTATGGCTGCCGTCGCATCATCCGGGTGGGGCTGCACATTGGTGGTGCTGGAGGGGAGTCCCTGGTACCTGTAAAGCACTTTGAGCACTGTGTCCAGAAAAGCGCTATATAAGTGTAAGGATTATTATTTAGCAAGGAGCACATGATAAACAGAGGAAAGGAAGAACAAACGGGAGTGGAACCAGCAGGTACAGTACAGAATACGCTTGAGTGGGTTCTTGAGACGTGATAACGAATGGTAAAAAACAGTGTTGGAATGTACAGCCTTTTGAAGCTTTGTGATGCAAAAAGAGGTGTACATAAGCAGCTGTATCCGTTTTTGAATTTTGTGAACTGGTTTAACGGGACCCTGTTGCTGAGATTCTTGCTCTCCGGAGAGTCAGGAAAGCTGGTTCTGTTGAACTGCCTTTCCTAGAATTCCTGGTTTAGATTCTAACACTCTTCAGAATGCATCGCTACTGAACTGTAATAAACCAATTCAACTCACTCGTGCTCTTGCGATTTGTCTTCCTTATCATTTCTTATGTTTATGCGGGAGACACGTGAGAACTGAGACTGTAATAATTTAGGGAACAACAAAAAATGTTTAGGTTCTTTTTAATTTTGCAGCATAACTCTTAAGTCACATACAAGCATGACATTGACAACAGGTCTGCCCACAACACACATCTAATGCTCTCCTGAAGGAAAGTGAATAACTGTAGGGTTCAATTTATTAGTGAAGGGTGGGACTAAGCCAAACCAGCAGGCAGAATCGGCTGGAACAACAAGGAGTGAGAGCAGCTGTCCCAGGAATTGCCCCCTGATTTTGTTCTGGGGAGAATGGTGAAGCTAGAGTCTTCCTGGGAAGAGTTAATCGTGTAATCAGCTTTTTAAATTTTGATGATGATTCTCATTAGTTACACAGATTTACAAATGAAGAATAGCTGTATTGTTAACAAGCGATCTTAGCACCACAGCAGGCAGAAGACAAGTCTTTATATTAGAACCGACTTGCTAGCTTCCTCTTTAGTTAAAGGGGGTTCCACCTTTTTTATATTCTTTGAAACATATAGCCATGACTATCTGGCTGAATTATAAATGAGCTGCTATGTGCACTTTCCATGCTCCGTCTGTATGCTGTACACTACACTGCTATCCCGCCACCTTGCTAGAGACTGGAATTGAGCACAGGTAGTATTCAACCTCCTGGTGGCACCCACTCCCCAAGTTACTTCAGTTTCTCAGGTCTTTACAAAACCCAAATCTTGCATTGCCTGAAAGAGTGTGTGTGTTTGTGTCTTTGTCAGCCCTGTAATGGACTGTCATACCATCCACAATATACCCTGCCTTGCACCTGTTGCTTGCTGGGATAGACTCCGGCTCCCCTGTGACTCTGAATTGAAAGACGTCATTAAAAAACGAATGGATGGAATCGCCAAATATAGCACACAATAAATATACAGTAGAGTAAATTAGAATTTGTTTTTTAACGGGATTTCAGGAATTACATGCATGCAGCACTTTCCCACTGTTTATTGTGTGCAGACCTTAGTGAATATAGGAGAAACGACTATTACTGGTTTGTTTTAGAAATAGGTACATTTCACCCAGGTTATTTTACATCCAGCACTTTTATTCAAAAGAAATGCCAAAAAATATATTAAAATGTTTCTCTCCACATATGACTTAATCACAATGTGCTTGTTTCAGATGTAACAACTCGAAGTTCAAAAGTGTTTACCCTGCGTTTAGCCACACTGTGCAAGCTGCACGTTATGTTATTCATAACTATCACACAGGCTTCCCATTCTTCTCCATATATACCCATGTCCCAGCTCGGGAATGTCGAAGCAAGCCACTCTGCAATGCAATGTAGGATTTTATTCCCAAGCTTGGAAAATCAATTGTCTGACTCTACAGTATATAGAGAACAAAGTTCTTGAGCGATATCTGTCGAAATAGAGTGACTGTATCAAAATAAATAGCAATGTATATCAAAATAGAGTGACTATATCAAAATAATTAATGACAACTTTATAGTAAATGCTAACAAGAACTAACAAAAAAAAAACAAGATTTAACATTACTATTGAATGCAGTTTGTAGAGAAAAATAAATGTCTTTCTGCAAGGAATACCACAAATGTGCTTCTAAAAACCACGCGATTTCAGGTGATTTTCCTCTGGCAATAATCATACTGTCAGGCAGCGGAGAAAGAAAATCTTGTTTCTTTCTATCTAAATTGTAAAAACGTTTCTTCACTGTCCCATGAATGTATGCACTATTTTAATATCCTCCCCTTCTGAATCTAACACCCAATCAAATAAATTAAACTGCATTACATTTAAGACTGAAAAATCTGTCCTGTCTTGAGGAAAGCTTGGCAGTTCTAAAAAAATACTGCAGGACACCCATGTTCTCAATCTATTTAATAAAAGGCACTTAAATAACATAAATAAAGCCAAAGCACAGTGAAGCCGAATTCATTCTTGAGAAAAAAAAAGCCTACCTCTAATTGCACCTATTTTATTGGGGTCCAGCTGAAGGATACCCTGAGCTGCGACCCCCGTGACATTATGTCTGCTCAGGGTCTCGGAAGAAAACAGACCACGCAGCAGATAGCCCACTGCACCTCTGGGGCTGCTCTCAGTGGAGGCCTTGAGCAGAGCACTGGCAGGAGCCAGCACCTTCCTCTGAGGGTTCCCAATCAACACTGCCAAGACAAGGAATCCACTGTCACTGCCAGCGGTGGACACAAAAACTTATCCCAGGCCTGCATGGCAGGAGGTAGGAGGGAAGGACTGGTTACAACACAAAATAGCAAAGACAAGGACAGGACAAAGATAAGGAAGGTAGGGGCTGGCTGGCTTTTACAGTTTAATTCCCTGCTGCTGCTCTTTGCTGGGAAAGTTAAGGGTCTTGAAGTCCTTCCCTAGATCCTAAACATCCATTAGTTATAATCTAATGTCCCGGATGAACAGAAGTATTCGGAAACAACAAAAAAAACTCTGTCGTACAGGTGGCCTGTTCAGATCAGCCATTAAGAGCTCGTTCATTGGAAAGTGCAGTTCTCATACCCATAGGCCGCTCTTCAGCGGAAGTAGTGGCACCAGCATCTTTACTCTTGGATCCAACTGCCACAGAAGCCGAGTCCGGACCCAGCGATGAGATGGCGGGGGGGGGCGGCTGGCTGTGCTGTCCTTGGTGACAGAGCAGCGTGGGGCTGGGGGCCCCGGGGGCAGGAGAGAGCCGGGGGGGCTTCTGCACTTCCTCCGCAGGCAGCAGGCGGGGAGGAGAGCACACCCGCACGAGCTGGGGCATCGGCGGGGTGGAGTCCAACGCACAGGAGACCGGGGCCCTGACTGAGTGAGCTGCTGCTCCCGGTTGTACCACAGGCTTCTGGGGATCGAAATAGGCCTCAAAATCCTACCTCCAAAACTGTAGCTGGTTGTCATAACAACAACCATAACGACTGAAATCAAGACTGCTTCGCAGCAATTATTGGGAATGTACAATAGTTAACAGGCAGAGAGCAATGAATCACCAAAAAGAGTGTCAGTTTGGAATAATGTGAAAATTTGACTTGTCTGGGGTAAAGCACTTCAGCTTCCTACACAAGATTTGGAAAACAGCCGGAAGGGTTTGAGAGATATGGGACTAGCCCAGCACACCAATTCTTCCTGAACAGTACATTTCTACTCTACAATTTTTGTGCTCTTGTCATGATTCTAATGAGTTTATGCTGAAAGCAGGATTTAAGAGAATGACTAAAAATTTACAAGAATAAGAAATTAAGACTACTCACTCGCTTAATGAATAGAGGCCACCGGTGGGATTTCTGCATTTCTGAGACAGTTGACTGAAGGCTGTCAATTTTTTGATCAAGTCTCTGGATAGCTTTATGCATCACCTGCCAGAAGAAAAATCATGGCGGTCTAAAAAATGTGCTAATGTGATGAAAATGTCATAATCCTTATTCTTATGTTTAACTGTCAAAACCTTGGCTCCGTCAATTAAATTTAGGCCTAACATTTAAATAATTGTGCTTTAAAAAAGTTTACATTTTACAGTTTACAATTCTCCACCCTGGATTTCAATTCTATTTACAAAGTGACTCTATTTGTAATGAAAAGAACTGCAGTATAATCAGTAATGTAAGAAATGAGCTTTACCTTGCAGTAGTTGAGGATTTTTGAAAGTGTTCCATCCTCATTTGTGTCATATCCTTCTTCATGAATTTCAGTCTCCTTTAAATCAGAATAATTATTAGAAAAGGTGTACAAACATTTCCTTTAAAAAATAAACCGCCTAATAAAATACTTCTAAAAATGCACTATACACCATTTTTAGCATGTATTGTGATACAAAAGCTTTTGGACATAAAATTGAATAAGGTTTGGCTGCTATGGTCCACTAGAATCATGACGAAGTATTACAACAATTTTAAAATGATCAAATAAAATCTGCAGCCAAGCCTTACTTTTGTATCGAAACAGTTTTGAAAGCAATCACTGCGCAAAAGCTTTGAATTTAAAATTTATGATAGCTGACGGTTTTCAAATCGTTCCAAGAAAGAAATTTACTTTTAATAAACAGCCTTCTCGGCACACTCTACTGGTAAACAAACAGTTGCTAATCACTCTAACACCCCAAATCTAGCCAGAGAATGTGGCTTATGTTCCCTCAGCATTTACAAGTGGGGTCAGACTTAGAGAACTCCAGCTCACTTTACTTTACTCTTGTATTTTAAAGGCTCCTCACTGTTGTTGTAACAAACAAATAAGTTCTGGACCCGGAGATGATGCTGAACAAGTGAGTTTAATTGCATGCAAGGAACAATACAATCGGAATTGTTCATAGATTATAGGTGCAGAGCTCAGCCGTTTCTGACACATATTGTTACCATGGTAATGGGGGGGGTCACCTGTGTTTGGACATTCTCACGACCTTGAACACTTTTGAATGGCTGGTCTCATCTTCCCATAGTTAGGGAGTCTCTAGCTCGCACTTGGAATCTCTTATCAGTTAACTCCCCTCCCTGCCATAACCCAAAAGTGCTGAAGCATGGAATGTTTTGTACCAAAAGAAGTCTTTGTGCAAAAAGAAATCAGTTAACCCTTTTTTCAAATCTCGTATCTTTCTTCATTGTCTTTTGCATGTTTGGTTATAAATGGAATATTCAACACCAGTAAAACTTATTGGTTGGATTAATCCCAAACAATAGATTAAGTTCCTCATACTGTGGAAGACCGAGTCAAATGGTCAGGACAGTGACTATGCGCGGGAAAGGTTTTCTGTTCGCACCTAAGACCACTGTCTTAGGTACAAACTAAAGCCTGTGATTCCTCACACCCATTCAACCAGAGAGAAATGAAACAGGTTGCAGGATGCCAAATGGCATCTTCCTGTCCTGTTTGTTTGACTTCTGACACTG